TCTAACATCAACAAGCCCGACTTTGGGGCAAGCTCGAGGAAAATGGAAATTGAACTAAATCGATTAAGGCATTGTGATCGTCTTAAGCTCTTTGCTTATTTTGAAGTATCTAATGAGATTAATATTAATCATAAGCTTCTTAACACCTTAATCTTTCTTGAGAAGTTCAAACGAGGGGAGGAAGAAAGAATTCGTGTTTCGCTCCACCTTTAGAGTGAAGCCAGAGGGAGTTACTTTGTTTAATTGCATGTCGTTCCAATCAAATATTAATCACTCACTTGCAATTAATATCTTAGCTCATCCAATACTTTTAGTTTAATCAACAACCTAATCAACTTATTAACATTTACTAACAAACAAGTAATTAATCTAGTAGTGACAGTGAAATTATCTAAAAACAAAGAAATAACAAGAGAGTTAATCTAATGGAGTTGGCGCCTTACCATCAGAATGGTCATGTTGGAATACGTGCAGGTGAACATGGAAAAAGATTTGTGGTAAAAAATGATTTTGACCAAATAACGGAAATTCTATTTACATCAATAAACAACAGTCAGGAAGAAATCAAGAAATTGGTGGAACTGCTTCCCTCGGTCCAGAGTTACCAAGCTTGGGCTCACTCGGCACCGAGACTAACAAATGAAGGTCTGTTTGTGTGTATCACAATGGTGAATGTACATGACTTTATAAATGCGGTAAATGCGACTTGGTGGTGGAAAGAAGGAAGATACAATTGCGATATGGTGAACAATGTGGTCCCGAGCTTTGTGATGTACCATAAGAATCTGGAATTACAATCGACTGAGGACAATTTCTTCTGGATGTCATCATCACAAATAAGGTGGATTGATCTAGAAGTAATTGATGCAAGAATAACAACAGACAATGTAATGAGAGTTCTATTCACGTGTGAAAACACCAGAGAAGACCTGGACGAAAATGAATGGACAATGATTATTGATGGTCTACCGTATCTCTTTGCCGATAATACCAACTTGGAGCAATGTCCCAACTGTTGCGTTCATTTCTACCATTCACAAGAACACACATGTAATACAACACCAATATGCTCAGTATGCTCGGAAGTAAAATGCCAAAGGCAAACTAACCATAACTATTGCATTTACAGACCAAAGTGCCCAGATTGCACTTATTACAATCAAGAAGAGTCATCACATCCTAGTAATCATCACACGAAATGCCCGGCGGTCAAACTATTAACTCAGTTTGCTCTCAAAAACTCAAGAGGCATTTATGGCTCTTTGCGAATTGCATCTTATGCTCCTCCGATTTTAGGTGATGTCCAAAGCATAAACAGAAGAAGAAACAATTAAAAAAGGTGGAGCAAAAGAAGATAATGGTCAACAAAGAAGCTCCAATGAAAAGAAGAACAACATTTAAAATAAGAAAATGGAAATTTAGAAAAGTATAAAAGGATTCAACTTGTATATCAGAAATCACTCTCTTGTTAAGCTACCCCACTAATCCTTGTAAAAGTAAAAGCAAAACTAAAATAAAATGTTCTTTGAAAACAATTACATAATGTTCAAACTCTCTTCGTTTAAACCCTTAACTATGATCAGTGCTTCGACAAATAACAACATGTTTGAATCAGAAATAGATGCAATGGAAAACACATGGGCCAGAGAAGAGAATGGAAAATTTGAATTTCTATTTGCGATTGATGAAAACCGACCAATAGTGGAGAACCAATTAGACATGGTGACCAAACTACTAGAACACAAAGCTGAAATAAACATGTGGAACTGGACAAAAATGGAAATCAAGTCGGACACAGTGGACATTTTGAAGAAAGGGATGGTAATAAATAGTTGTAAAAACTTCTTGATCCTGAAAAAACAGATAAGCAACATTATTTTTGTCAAAACATCAAGTGAAGCAAGAACAATAAACATTGCAGATGCTTTTCATCGCATTGAATTTGTATAACCTAGTGTAACGTACTCAAATAAACAGTTTCATTAATAAAACAAATTGCTGTGAATATTTATTGAAAATAATGAATGTGAAAATCTCGCTGATCAATGTGAGGAAAAGTAACAATGTGGAACGAAGATTGAGAGAAAATTTAGCTGATGACAAGATTCTGGTACTGACGGAAGACAACGATAAGAAAATGTACAACAACCAAGTGAAAGCAATAAATGTCAGTGTCACCTATCCTGTTCGGTGGAAATGTTTAAGGAAAAGATTCATATCTGACTCGATATTGATGGTGTATCTAAGTTGTGGAAGTGGCTTCATGGGAATCATTGCTGTTTACGCTAGTCCAAATAATGACTGCTGCATCAAGGAACTGATAAACGCTCTGGAAGAACTTCCCGATCAAGAGCCATTTATAATATGTGGAGATCTCAATCTAGAAACCACGATTTGGACTGATCAACCCAGAAAACCACATGGAAGAGACAAGGAAATAATTGAATCATTAGCAAATGTATTGGAAAGAAAAAGATTTCACACAATATTGCCGAAACAAAAACCGGAGAATTTCACAAGGAAGGGCAATAAACCAGGTACTGGAACGGTGATAGATGTGATGCTGGCCAAAGGGGTGAACAAAGTGATAAGTGTAGAATTCAAGGATGAAAAGTTTCTTGATCATCGTATTATTAATTGTGAAATGGAATTGAAAAAGACAAAATTTAATCTGGATGGACTCAACAGGAAGATTACACAGTATTACCACCAAAAGCCGATTCCAATCAACAATGAGATGAACATAGAAGAAGCAATCTGTGCATTACTTAATCATGGAAGATCTAAAAAGATGAAAATAATGAAAAGTGGAAATAGAAAAGAAAGAAGATACAAAAAGAAAATAAACAGAGAAATGGATCCTACCAAGAGGAAAGAGATTATTGTGAATCTGAGGCAATATCGGCAAAGTAAAGCACTGAAGCCATGGAAATATGATCTGTCATCGCTTCATCGACTAATGAAAGAAAGAGCACCAAGAACTGGAAAACTAGATGATAAGATAAACAAGAAAAGCCAATTAATACCGAAATTTATCAAAATGGAAAAAACAAACTACATGGAGACGGGAGAAGGTCTAACCTGGGATGAAATTAAGATGTTAAAAGATATAAAACTTTTTAAGACCACATCAGGATGGGCTGATCCATATACTAAAACCCATTGGAACAGAATATGGTCAAGGCAAAAGACTGAAATAATAAATCTGGTAAATCGTATCTTTAGAGCAAAGAAAATTCCACCACAAATATTAATCTCTGGTGGTACAAAAATTCCAAAACCGGATGGATCATATCGGATAGTAAGAACTCAGAGCTATTTAGGAAAGCTAATCGATCTAATATTGGTAAAAAGATTACAATCCTTTATAAAGGAAAATGCATTAATAGATGAAGAAATTCAATTCGCATACATCGGAACAGAAAGAATGAAAATGCTGGTGAAAATCTATGAAAATTATGAAAGATTGGGAAAACTAATGTCAATGGACCTAACCAAAGCGTTTGATATGATCGACCGGAGAGCGATAAAAGAGAGACTGGAAGGAATGAATTTAAGCACGAGATGGTTGATTGAACAATTCATATCAAATAGGAGACTAAGGATAATGGAGAATGGCAATTTAATAGTGAGGAAGGATGAAGAAGCTCTACAAGGATTTGGCTTAGGGCCTCTACTATTTGTATTGGGAACAGATCAAACACTAAGACGATTAAACAATCATCCATATGATCAGATGGTATTGGCCTTTGCGGACGATCTAATTGTAATAACAAAAGATCTTGAATCGTCAAAGGAAGAGGTGAAACAAGCGTTTGAATTAATTGGAATGAAAATAAATGAGGGGAAGACCAAATATCATGATCTAAACGATAAAAGAGCGGAAAAAACGATTGTTGGATACAATCTTCAATTCACAAAAGATGAATCAGCCCTACTGAATAAACTGGTAACGAAATCCAACATGACCCACTTACAGAAGCAGTTACTCTCGTCAGTAAGGATGACACAACTGAAGATATTAATACAAACACACACAAATCATCTTCTAGAATCACTGGGTCTATCGCCATGGTGGAGAAATAAATTGTACAAATATCGGATAGATCATCTGATAAAGATCGGAAGGAAAGCGACACAGAGTGCCTGGATGATGAAGAGACACTATAGAGATCCGCTCTTTGACTGGATACACGACATCAAAAATCCATTCATCAACTATTTCATCAAAATGATTCTGCTTCTGTGGGAAATGGATGCAGACGAAGATGAATTCCCAGTAACTAACTGGGGAAAAGAGATTCGAAACCATTTGAAAAAGAAAAGAGAAGAGCAAATAGATCAATTCGAGGACCAATTAATGCTTGTCATCGAAAATGATAACGCCTGTGCTAGAATAAAAGGAAATCACCTACATTTTAGATCAATAGGAAGAAGATCACCTTTTGACGATGAAAGAGCGGCAATAACTATCCTTGAATACCTGATAGAGAAAAGAAACAACATTGGAATTGAAAAAATGGAACTGAACATCAAACTATCACCAAGTAATATCAAATACATGGACGATAGAGGGATAAAACCAAAATCAATAATGACAATGAAGGAAATGGAACTATGCTCAGAGGAAATTAGGCTAGAGGAACTATGGATCAACAAAACAGAGAATCAATGTAAAACTCTGATAAGAGAGAAGTTAGAAAAAAGAGAAAATGAACTAATGATGCCAAAGAAATGGACGTTTATGGGTGCGGTTTTAAAAAATAAAGCAGCGATAAATTGTATTAGGAATCAAGTATTCTACCAACATTCGATTATGAAAAACATGTGTCTGATCAAAACGATATGTCAACTATTGCCACATGACTGTGGAACAGAAATGAATGAAAAGCATCTGACAACTTGCAAAGAATATCAACCAAAAGGTGGATGGTCCATAAGCAAGAGAAAATTTGACAAAATAAAGAAAAACCTAAACGAATTAGCTGAGACTATTATGTCAGAATCCAAAAGAAGTGGTGGGATAACCCAACACTGTGCTCGCCGAGACTAGAAGTCGACCCCAAAAAACGGGGCCACCGAAAGGTGGGAGCAGCTGTTCAGTCAGCAACAAAGAATAAATGTTTACTCCCATTCACTAAATTCAATTGATTCAATTTCTTTGATTAATCAAGTATTTTTTTTAAATTCTCATCTTGATTCATCTTTCGCCAACACTTGAAAATCAATAACAAGTAAGTTCGTTTCTGTTCTTGATGTTAATTTAAAGTAATTTATCGGCTAACCAAATGTAATTTTTGTTTCTCTGTTTGGTTTTGTTTTTCGGTTCAATTTTGTATCTCATTTGTTAATACATGCGTTTATTTTTCGCTTAGATTGAAACAATTAAATTTATTCTCATCAATTATGACAACTAAGGATCTTTTTAAGGTAAGTGTTACCATTATTATGTGTCCATTGTGACAACATTATCCATTTTTGTCACTAGAAATTATGATTACAATGGTTGGTGATTTTCGACCAGGAATCATTTTGTTGAGTGTTGTCACCTCTTCCTTGATGAGAGGTTGACATGGTTTATTTTTAGTTTCTTAATGATGTTGACAATTAATTTAATGTTATTTAAGTGATTTTTATCTTGGTACAATTACATTCTCACTTGTTCCTGTTTCAACTAGTCATAAGGAAAGAGTTACTAATGAAAAGGTTGATCTAAATGGGTGACACAATGAATGAAGATTTTTGATTGTTAGATAATTACACTTTACTAATCAATCTTTTTTTTTTATTTCTTTTCTCTTTATCAACATTATCATTTGGATCGTTTTTATTGGACTGTCATAAAAAAAAAGTCTTTCGACTTTGGTCCTTCTCTGATGGATGAAGTTTTCAGAGAATTGGATATCATCAAACCAGAATTTACCGATGATTTAAATGGTCAACAAAAGGCTATCAATGATTGTAATTCAAACGTCAAAAATGAAATCAAAGAAATTGTTAACAAGTTAACTTTAAACAAGGATAAACCAAATAAGAATAAAACAACAGTTAAGCCCATCTCACCCGCTGAAGAACAGAATTTGGATTCAGCTATTGCCATGGCTAAAGAATTGGCTACATTGAGTATGATGGAACTTGAATTTAAGCCTGTTAATGATGTTAAACATGATAATATTTCATCAGACAGCCCAAAAACACCAACCTCACCAAATAAGAAAAAGTTTTCATTCAAATTCAAAAATAGTCCTAAAGGTGATCGTAAAAATTTCAGTGAAAAAGCAGAAAAAATCCCGGATATTCAATCTATTTTAACCGAAGAAGCCAAAGTCGCCTACAGTAGTTTAATTGAAAAAGGTGAAAATAAATCAACTAAAGGAAAAGAAACCAAACGTCATTTACAAATTACTAATTGTCAACTTTTGACATCAACTAATCCATCTTTAACAGGTACATCTCACTTTGGTACAGGAGCGACCATAACCTCTGCCACCTCAACCGCTAATCCTGTAACCATAAGTCATCCCATTGAAACAGATACAACTGATTATAATCCATTGAGACTTTTACGAAGTGGATTCTCAATTATCCCTAAAGTAAAGGGAAACAAACAACGTATTGCTGCCACCCCACAAACCGCATCACTTGCCAGACTTACAGCTAATGTTAACCGAAGTAATTTGGGAGCTCCACCACCTCCTCCGGCATCTTCAACCACCGGACCGATAGCGGTTTCAAGTTCATTGGGATCTGTTTTCCTAGATGACAATTTACCATCTTCATTAGCTCAACAACAGAATCAACTGCCATTACCTCCTCGTGATAGATCAAAACAAACTCAGCCTACCTGTTTGAAACAACACCAACGTAGACATCCACTTCTTATACCTGGATCCTCATCTTCAGCCGCAATCGGACCGGTATCTTCACTGGAATCTTCAGATTCATTTGAAAATGTAAATTCCAGTGAACCACCAATGTCCACTTTCAAACCTCATTTACCTGCTTTAAAACATGGAGTTTGTAATGAATCACAGCCAAGTTATGTTAACTATGTTCCTCCTCGAACCACAGAGATGGCGGATAACAAATATTCTAGTTCAGCCTCAACATCGAGCCCGATACGTACTTTGGGTCCTCATCCACCTCCAAAGCCAAATAGGACTTTTCTGTAAGTTTTACCTCGAAAAAAAGTTCTAATCATAACTTATATAATCTGTGTTATTCGAACCTATTGTTCATCTGATTCACTTTCTCTCTCACTCTCTTCTCTCTCATTTCCTTTCTTTCTCTCAATTATCGACTCTCTCTCTCTCTCTCTTCTGCCCTTGCCCATTTCTCATCTTCTTTGGCTTGATCAGGAATGAAGAGCCATTGGAAGCTAAACATGCTACTACTAGCTCAGCCTCTGTGGATAATCATTCATCACTAATGAAACCAACACAACAATTTAATGAGATAAAATCTTTCGATGGGCTCAACCAATCGCCACTTAAATCCTCTTCTATAAATTGTCGTGTTTCCTCACTAGATTATTCATCTACTTCTGCCGTTGATAAACCTAGTCTACTCACTCGATCACTAGATTCTAAAGAACCTGATCCAGATGAAGTTCGAGTCATGCAAAAAGTTCTTGCTAATGAAGTATGGAAAATGAACATTTACCATCTCTTTAGAATAGCAAATTAACCTTTTCAGACAAAACTTAGACACTAACTCGAAACTTTGATTATTCTTCTTGTTCTTTTCGTTCTCTCTTTTTTTTATTAACTTTTTCTTTTCTTTTCTTTTGCTAATTTATTAATTTTTCTCTTTATATTCGTTAATTTAGATACAGTTATCTACAGAGGAATGCATAAGAATCCTTCGAACCACAGGCTGTGATATTCACAAAGCAGTTAAATGTGTTCGATTACGAGAAACATTGAAAAATCATTCGATCAATATTGATTGTAATTGGGCGGAAATGTTGGCTCGATTTAATTGGAATATTCGTCAAGCCTCAAATTATCTAATTGCTACCCAAGGACTGCCAGAAGATACCACCGAAGTGTAATTGTGATCAATATAAGCACACAAACAATTCGTTAAGCTGCCCAGTTAAACTGCAATTAATTCAAATTTAACCAGAAAACGAAGCATTTAAATGGATCCAAAATCAGCAACTATCAATAAGGATCTAAATCTATTTCTTCATTTCTTAATTAGCTTTCATTTTACCAAACTGACCCGCTGAATTAATCGTCTCTTCTTCATCATTTATGGCAAATATTTTCAACCAAAATTTAATCAAACTACTAAATTGTAAAGCATTTAAAAAAAATCAATAATCATCTTGCAAACAATTAACTTTGACGCTGACAAATGCTGAAAAAATGAGAGCTTTAAACGTTACCTTCATCCGTTAATTAATGACTATGGAAAATTAATCAACTTCCCTTTCTCATCAATAGTTTATCTAAATAAGTTCCTGATGATCATCTAAACAATCAGTATATTTGCCAATGATTGTGAAAACAATTTCAAGTTCATCATCTCAAGCCTGTTAATCAAAGTGACCCAGGTCGTTACAACGATTACTGCACAAGAAATGAAAACAAAGCAACAATTAATTACCAATAATCATCTTATTTAGTCAATGGAATCAAAATTTTCATCAAAAATCATTTCTACTCATTATAATTAATCCTTTCCTTTTATTCACAATAGAAACTGAAGAAAAGCTCGATGATAATTCAAATGGATTAACTAATTTACACCAATCCCGACAATTAACTCTAATCTTATTCAATCCACAACCTTTCATCCTCTCTCAGTCTTATCAAAATTCATCTTCTATTATCATCTTTGTACTTATCATCATCCTCTTCAAGGAGCTAGTCTAATATCTTAATTGTAATCAAATCTTTTCAATTACCTTTTCTTTTCATCATCAAATAACCATCAACAACGATCAACTTATTGATTGATTTTTATTTGATCAAAAAAAGTTAAATTTTGTTTTTTGGTTAATCACTAAAGTAGTTGATGATTTAATCTTTAATTACATTTTGATGAAACTAAAACCACAATTAGCTAAATTTCTGCAATCATTTAGCAACAATAATGGTAATTATGACAAAACTGTGAGCATAAATCGATTGATGATCTGTATTAATGATTAATTGTAAGCAACAATTAAATTAATAAAATACGTTTGTTATCCCAAACTTGAAAATCTAATTGTCAATTAGATCAAATTTTCACGTTGAATCACAATTGACTAAATCATAAAATTTACCCAACAATCAATGAGTTTAAATTAACTCTGACAAAAGATCTAAATCATGATTAGTGAATCAACTGATCGAATCAAATTAAAATATCGTTCTGATTAATGAATGAACGATTAAACTTGATTAAAATAAACTAACAATTAAAATGTAAACAAGGAAAACGATGATTGAAATAAATTGTCGACACAATCAAATTAACTCTTAATAATTTGTTATAAATACAAACGAAATTAATTAAATTTTAATGACAAGTTTTACAGTTGAATAAACTTGATTAACTAATGATGAGTGAAACATAATTAGTTTGATTGTTACAATTTCTCCCATAACAATCAATGTCAATTGCCTTGGAAAACAAACAGGTAAACATTTAATTGGTAACGAAACGGAAACTGATGATAATTAAACAATCGAGGCTAAAATCCGGTGAAAGTGAATTTAAGTTCCGGTCAAGAAAGAGAAAAGTAAGAGAATAGCCTAAGGCAATTAAAAGAAAAGAAAGAAAAAGATGAGCCAAGGTGAGTTACCTAAGAAAAGCCATTTTCTCATCTTCTCTTTCCTTTTATCATCTCTTTCTTTTTTACTTCGTTTTTCTTTCTCTCTCAAATTCTCTTTCTTTCTTTTATCATCTTCCTCTTTCTTTCATTCTTTACGACATCTTATGTTTTCATCTTCTTCTTCTCCTTCTTCCTCTGTCTTTTCCCTCTCCTTCCTTTCCATCTCTTTCTCTCCTCATCTTCTGTCCATTCTTCCATTTCCTGTGTCTTTCTTTTCTCTTCTCTCTCTCTCTTTCTCTCTCCATCATCTTCTCTTTCTATATTCTCTTTCTTTCATCTTCTCTCACTCTCTCTCTCCTTTTCTCTCTCACGCAGACTTACTACTCACACGAGTTGTTAGTTAGAGTTGTTCCATCATCGGTAACATATTTTCATTCCAAAATTTGATCAGTTGATTGTTTTTCTTTTTCTTTTCTTTTCTCAATCAATTAATTTATCACAGTTAATGAATCAATTTTTTCTTCTAATTACAATTCAACTTGATTACAATCAAATCGTCAACCAAAACAATCCCATTGATCTTCAAAGACTCTTGACAAAAACTCAAAGCCAAAGCAAGTACAAGGTGTCAACATGATTGACCCAAAGAATAGTCTATGACCTTAACGTCTCAATTTATTGGTGAAATTTACTCTCATCATCAACATGACCTACACCCGATTACCATCATCTTAATCATCCGCCATTTCTAACAAAATAGAAAACTGATCCAACGATAATCAACCAACAATCATCATCATCACACCAACACTTGACTCTCAATCTCTGTAATAAACATCAACTGCCTTTGGTTGCCTTGTGTTAATTTCTGTTGCCATTTTTGGATGAAAACAAAAACCAATTGGTTAATTGTTATTAATTGGAACATCTGATTGACATTTAATCGCGAATTATGATCTTTGTGATATAATCAACATTCAAATTGATTCTCAACAATTTAACTGTTAATCAACTATTGATAATTTAATTCTCTTACCATCATTTTCTGTGAGTGTATTTACTGAGTGAATCTTTTCATTTCTCTCTAACCTAATAGTTAATTTCCAATTCTAAATCCATAACAATCGGTGTTTTCTATTCTACTTTCAAGTTACCCAATATATTACAAATTATCTTTGTAATTTACTAATTGTAATCAATCAACGATTATTTCTTTTGTTATTAATTGGAACACAATCTCTCTCTGGTTCCAATCCTGTTCTTATTTTCTTAGTAGTTACTTTTTCTGGTTCATCTCTATACCGAAATTGTAGTTAACCTTTAGTGTGACCTTTTGCCCGTTTGTTGATGAATTTTTCCTGATCATCTCTCATTATTATCAATTGTTCTTGATATTCTGTAATTTTGCCATGAGATTTAATTGTGATGTCTTTAATTATAATGGATAAAAGTGATATTTTCAGTGATATTCTTGAATGTTCCGTTTGCTTTGAGCAACTTGATTACACTTCCAAAGTATTACCATGTCAACATACATTTTGTAAGCGTTGCCTGGAGGAAATAATTCACGCTCATAAGGAACTTCGATGTCCAGAATGTCGAATCAAGGTGGACATTAAGGTAGATGATTTACCAAGCAATATTCTACTTATTCGTCTCCTCGAGGGACTTAAAAATAACCCCAAATTAGCACTGAGGTAAGTACATTTTTCGTATGTACAATTAGTTATAATGGAACACAATTCTCATCAATTTCACCCAAATTGCTGATTCTTTTTCTCAATTCAATTCATTTCATCTCCATGTTTATATCTCCTATCTTTTATCATCCATCTTCATGATCTTTACTTTCCCTGTCTTAATACACACACATATATACAATCTTATTCAATGGTAATTCATGAAAATACAATCAGAAATTCTGATGATGATTTGTAAACGATTATTAATACAATGTTAAGCTCTAATAGTAATTATTTCAATTTCATTCATCATAATTGATTTTATTCCTGATCATTGGTAATCCTTTTTTTTTCCTTCTGAATATTTGTTCATCATTTCAAATCTATTCTTTATTCATGTTGATTCTGTTATTCACCCAATTTCTGTTGAGAGGAGTTTTCTTATTCATGGTTATTAAGGTCACCCAACACCCATAGACAGTTTATCTTAGTGACAAGGAGAAAAATATTAAATTAAATATATTGTCAAGATGAAAATGTCGCTTAATGGCCTCATGGTTAGTCTTCAATTTGCTCTTGATCTCTCCCTTTGATTAGTTTTCTATTCTGTAAATCTTGAGATGATCATTACAATTTCATCATGATTATCATCATCCCAATAATAGAACCATGAAAATTATCATCATTCCATCAAAATCTAATTCCATATGTATCCTACTAGTTTTATCTTCGTATTGGAATATCCAATGGATAAGACTAATATTATGTACTCATGATTAGAATTTGCTTTGTGTTTATTGGGGAAGATCATCTTAAGTGGTTGCCATTTTTTTCTCTTTCTTACCTAACATTATCTTCTCTCTCTCTCTCTTTCATCTTTCCTCTTCTTCTCAGCTGAGAAAAAGTCTCACTCGATTGTAATATATTATTGCCAAGCTTTAAGAGCGATATATAAGTTATCGTAATTTTCTGGTTACATTTCTTTGCCCTTGGCAAGATGGGATGAGGATGATGAACAAAGATTGAGAAAGAAGAAGGTGAAGATGAGGATGAAGATGAAGATGATGAATCAAATGATGGAGAGACTAAATCTTTACACTATTATCATCATCGATGTTAAATCAATTTACATTTTTATGATATTCTAGTTTATTTGAAGCATAATAAAAGATTAAGAAAATGATGAAGAAAAAAAAAGAGATGAAGATGATGAAGGTGAAAATCTCCATGGGGTCACTTTGTAATCCATCACAGCAATCAGCTTAAATCAATCTCGTAATCTCAATTCTTAACAATTTAATATCAACACATAAATTAACGTTGATAATTTGAAGCCTTTTCTTTTTGTTTTCTGTGTTAATTAGATTCCTTTAAAGGTTATAATTATTTTGGAAAATATTTACTTTAATTACCAAATGAAATGTTATTTTCAAATTAAATTGCTATCGATTAATTTACTAATTACTCTGTAATCTTTTTGCTCTCTCTCTCTCCATCAACAGGACCTCTAAAAATGGAAGCGGTCATTACAATAATAATAATGAATTAAATCACCAACGGACATCATTTAATACGTTAAACAATAACAATCGAATCAATCAATCACCATTGTACTCAAATGAACAAATTTGCCGACTCCAATCAGCCAATGAAATTGGCATTTCCTCATTGAAGGTTGATTCATCGTTACCCTCATCAATATTACGCCAACAACAACACCAGCGACCAGCGAGTCTCAGTCAACCTGCCAAGAATGATACAAATAATATCATGAAACACCAACAGTCAACAACAACACCAACATCATCATCCACAGGAAACTTATCACCCTGTATAACTCGTGCCAAAGCTCTTTACACATATGATGGCAAGGAACAAGGGTGGGTCATTCTCAATATTTTCCTTCGTTTCCTTACCAACACAATCTTCCCCTTCATCCATTTTCTAGTTGTTTTTTTTAATGTTTTCTAAATGCAAAACATTCATTATATTCATGTACACACTTCGAGCCAGTCATTGAAATGGAGAAAGAGGTTGAAGATGATAGAACATCATCATCATCATCTCTCTCTCTCTCTCTCTCTCTCTCTCTCTCTCTCTCTCTCTGCTCTCACTCTTTGAAACTTCAAAGAGTAGAAAAGAAAATGATATTTTAATTTAGAAAATTGCAAAGAGAAGATGAAGGAAAATGATGAAGGAGAAAAATAGAGATGATAAAAAGAAATGAAGACAAGATGAATGGAGAGAGAGTGGAAAACGTAAGGTGGTGATGTTGACAACAAGTTAAATCTCACTAAAAATCCTCTTCCATTTCCTCTTCATCTTTCATCTTCTCACTAACTCTCTTTTCATCATTTCCTTTTAAACTCACTTGATGATGATAATCATCCTTGGTAAATGAATATTTGTCTTGTAAGAAAACCCAATTTACATCAATTACTTTAGATATTTTTTTCTCCATCATAATGATGATAAACAATTAAGAAAATTATAGCAACCGAGGTTCCTTGATGATGATGATGATTTAAGCATCATTTTTACAAATTATCACGATGAAATTGATGATTCCTACCAATTTGATTAGGTGTTACTATCCACACCCGATATTATTATAATATAATGAGAAAAAAAAAATTTCTCCCCTTTAATTAAATTTATTACGATAATATAATTGAAAAGTTGGCCAACGATTGTTTTGCAAAAATTGATTGACTATTTAATTAACTTGAACATCAATCAAATCCCTTAATCCATCATCAATTGATGATGATAATCAAAAACAGCTTCAATACAAACACTGGTCAAACCTTTTAATACTTTGCTCCAGCTGATGGTTATTACATATACTACCTTAATCATCATCTTAATCACCAGAACTTAATCATCATCATCATCATCAGTGTAATAATGATTAGACTAATAATCTACTCGAGGGTGTTTCAGTTAAATCATCATTAGATGAATTTTCTCATATCATCAAGATGAAGATGAAAATCAAGACTCATCCCACTTTCCACCCTCTCTCAGGGCTTCTGCTTATGAGAATCATCAAGCTAATAATATGTTAGACTTTTTTGTCTCCTTTTTTTTCATCATCATCTCTTTGCAATCTTCATTTTCACAGTTATGTTAATCATCATCATCATCCTTACAATATAATCCTAGGAAAGTGAGCAACCTCTCAATGATTTTACAATGTTGATGATGATAAAAAAGTTACTCTCTTGGCCCTTGAGATGTGTAACTGTTTATTCAGTTGAAATTTAGCAACATCATTCAGGGTGATGGTGAAGAGGTTGAGATGATGATGATGATGATTTGGTGGAGGAGGAAAAGATGATAACAAGAAGAGGAAGATGAAAAATGAACTTAAAATGATTTAGTTTGCTGATTAAAATCAATTGACTTGAACCATCAGTTAACTTACATGGTTATGTTTTCATGTTCCAGCATTGATTGTAATTCATTACAACAATTTATCCCATTTTTAGTTAACTATTACAACAATCAATTTAAATTCATTCCCAATTGCTAACATCATGCTCACTTAATTGTTTTAAATTAGTCTGCTAACCAACAATTAACTAAATGAGATTTGTTATTAGTAAAATTTTCGCAAAATGTCAATTTAAGATGAGACAATTTATTACAATTACAATTAACTTTAATTTTTACACTTATTGAATCAATTTTTTTCATCTCTTCATTTACTATGATTAAATTTAATCCTATTAAATTAATCAATTCTAATTTTTTCCCCGAAAAATTTTGTCAACATTAATCAATTTGATTGTATTATTTATAGTAAATTGTGATATATATTAATTATCATATGATTGTTGTTTTGTTTTCATTTAACTATTTATAATTAGCTGATTAACTCTTAAATTGAAAAGTGTCTAATCTAAGTTACCCTGAGTGAAACTGATTGTTAATTGTTACAATCAAGGTTTCGACAATCTATATTTATATTAATCATCATAATTGAATTGTGATCAACATCTATTACCATGGATGTCTGATTGTATTACTTTGATATGGATTCATGTTTTTCCTGATTAACCTTAATTCAAAGTGATCAGTAACAATTAACCGTCATACTCTTGATCTTGTATTAACTACTCTTGATTAACCAGGACAAATTTATAATCATTTTGTTATCCATTAATGATTGTTAATTAACACACTCATACACCATCAAAATCTGATAATCAAAATTAACTTAATTAACTTGATCATTGAATCAACAAGTTTTATTTTTCCCTGAAAACAAAATTTCCAGAAACCTTACAATTAGTCAATTAGTTAGTTAAATTGTTGTATTAATAGACTTGATTTCAATTTTTAATCAAAATGAAAAGTTAAACCTTTAATTGTTTCTTGATTGTTTTACACAATTAACGATAAATTATTAACCCAATTTCAGATTAATCTTTTAATTGGTTATTTCTAAATTCATTGATTTTCTCGAGGATAAAATAATTAAACCAAGAATCGTATTCTTGTTTGAACACAATTAATATTTATCAGAATTATGAACATGATGATTAATAATAACGGTAAACTATTATTTATTTCAATGATGATTAGGATTACGGAAGCTGAAAAGATGATCAATATGAATTAACGTTTATATTAATTGTAATTAGCATCATTAACTGTTAACAACTTTTCAGACTGATTATCTGTTAACCTTTTTTTTCATGTCATCATCTGGATCATCATCATCATCATCATCATCATCCTCATCATCCTCAGCTCAAAGATGATTACCTGATAATAATAATTTTCATCCATTGACTCTGAGCATCATCATGAGCTATAAATAGTTACCATGTGATGAAGATGTAGGAAGATGATGATAACTCTTGGGCCCAATGAGTTCAGAATCAGAATCAGAATTGATTTTTGTTATTTTTTCTTTCTGGTTCCTGGAACTTTTTTTTTCACCCAATAAGCTTATGGATCCATAGGAATCGAGAAAAAAAATAACCGAAACTTGAGATTGCTGAGTTTCCATGTTAAAGATAAATTGGTTACGATTCTGTGAATCAATTTGATGATTTCAGCCAAATACACACTCGAAACTTATATGATAATATATCCCATGGATTCTTGATGAAGATTATGATGATGATTGAAGCAACCAGATGATATGAAACAAAATGATTACGATAATTAAGATGATTGTTTAATTGTTAGTTGAAGAGATTGACTTTTCTCCTATGCTATTAATAATATAATTGAGTGTCACCGTTATCAAGATTATCATGAAAGATTATCATCTAGATTTTCTTAGCATCCTAATTTGATTGACCATTTGTTGACCCAATTGGATATTAACCTTTAAGCTTATCAGATCAATTGAGCTTAATCATGATCAGAATGATATTTACTATCTTCTCATTGGTAAATTGAATCAATATCATCTTTGATTTTTTCTCCTCATCCTGATAAACTAATTTCATCTTCTTTTACTTTTTTTTATATATTCTATTGATAATAATGATGATTTTATCGTTATTATTACTCTGCCTAATGATTGTTCAGCCTCACTTGATTCTGATTGCTTTTCCATAGAGTGAAAGTGATGATCATGATGATCAGAATTCCCTCCCTCTCTTGTCATCATATTGATTATCATCATCTTGATGAACTAATTTCAAATCTACTAACCTGATGAAAAGTTGATCCGTTTTTTTGTTTTATCATCTTCATCGAGACGATGATGATTTACTCCTTTTATCATCTTAATATCATGATGATGATGATGATGATCATCATCATCATCCTCATCTTTCAGATGAATTCATGAATTTTGTTTTGTTTTTTTTACCTGTCATCATGTTTTCAATCAATTTTTTTTTGTTTATTTCTCAGTTGAAAAGTTTATCAATGGTTGATGATCATTTTGTAACAATTAAATCATCCTCTGGTTGATTGATTCTGTTAATCATGATTAGTTTCATCATGATTGAATCCGTTGACACATAATCTATTGTTATGTTCACTTGTATATCAATTAATTCCCAGAAATAATTGAATCACTAATTGTTTATTCATTTGTCGAAAACTATTATCATTAATAACCTTTCCATACAATAATATTTAGATTCAGTTGTTGGTAATGATGCTTATTATTATTATCAGAATCAACAATTAAAATGATTTATTTTACACCATTAGATTAGTGAAATAAAGACAATTAAATTACGACTCTATTGTTGATTAATTATGTTTGCTTATTAGTTGTACCGTTTTCATTACAAATTTGGACAATTAGTTGAATAGAAATTTTAATTTATCGATAAAAATTTAATTTGATCGACAATCAAATGAACATTTAAACTTACAAATCATTGATTATTATCACAACACTAATGAACTTTTGAAAATGTTCATTTATCATGTAAATGATTCAGAGATTGAGTAAAGATTAGATTAATTTTTTCTTCTTGTTGTTCCTACTGATTAATGAATCCACTACATTTAATTATAGATAATTAATGGTGAAACTTGATATTAATTAAATTTTCTCTCTTTTGTCTAATTGTACAGGGACTTGTCTTTCGATAAAGGTGATGTCATTATAATTCGCCGTCGAATTGACCCAAATTGGTTTCATGGTGAACTCAATGGTAAACAGGGTTTTCTACCGGCCTCTTATGTTACCCTTTTGGCCCCTTCACCTGTACCACCTCAATGTAAAGCTCTGTACGATTTCAGGGTAACCGATGTAGAGGAAAAGGACTGTCTTCCCTTTAACAAAGGTGACACCATAATTGTTATCCGACGGGTCGATGAAAACTGGGCTGAAGGTCGTTTAGAGGGACGTATTGGTATTTTCCCGATAACTTTTGTCGAAATGAATTCCTCGGCCAAAGTGTTGCTTAAATTGACTACACCAACTCCACCATTACCCCCACCTACTGTCGCTGTTATTTCGGGAGCGGCAACAACACCAGTAGCTAATGTTATCGGCGGTGGCAGTGGATGTTTACAAGGTTTACATCCTCCATCCACCGGAGATGCAAATTTAAATTATTTAGAAGATTCCAATGGATCATCATCATCAACCTCCAGTCTAACAACAAGTCCAACATCATTAAACTGTACCCAGTCTACTACATCTTCCTCTTCATCATCTTCATCTTCATCCTCTTCCGCAGGTCTTCCTTTAACTTCGCCCTCACCTAATGGTGTTTACACCTTCTTATCTTCATCAACTGCACCATCTCCGCTAATCGCTAATAACAGTAACTCCTCCACCGGTAGTAAGATAATTAACAGTAAATGCAACGGTTCAACATCTTCCACGGTATCAAATGTCAACCCAATAAGTTCATCAGCTCTCTCATCATCTTCATCATCCTCATCTTCCCAAGCAACCATTATCACCACCCCAACGTCAACCTCTAAAAGTCAACCCATTTACCAATCGTCACAAGGATTGCTGCCACTCTCTTCCCACCGATCTCCATCTTCATCCACCGCCACTTCCTCACTTTCCCATAAAAGACACTCTGTATGTGTACCCCAAGGAGTGTCTCTTTGTTTACCTCCCTCATATCAGAAATTGAATCCTCTCGGACCGGATACCAAACCTTCAACTAATGGACTATCATCTTCACTGGGTCCAAATAATAACCATCGCCATTCAATGGAACTACTCAGTGAATTCAATCCATCATCATCATCATCGAAAAATGATAATCTTGAAAATTGGACCAACGATGATCTCGGAATACGAAATTCTGGTGTTCGAAATAGTTGGAGGCGAGAAACAAGTCTCTTGGAAACTCGATGCCCTGTGATGAACTTTCAATCAACATCCACTTAGTACGTTTAAACAATCAAAGAATCACTTGAATCATGATCATCATACATGAAAGAATTGAGAATATATCAAATATCTGACATCTGAAAATGATCAGATACTTGAATAAAGAAAACAGATAATTCTGTTGAAATTGAAAGAGATATTCAAATGATATCATGAGAATGACAGTTGAGAGTAGATTCAACAATCTATGATTATTAAATATCAGAAAGTCAACATGTTATTTTGTCGATAGTCCAGATATTGAATTTCCTTGGAATCGCATGAATGATGAATATGATTTTACCTTAACCGATAAGTTGAATTGTTAATAATTGTCTTTCTTTCCTTTTAAATAGTTACATCGCTTTGTACAATTACAGTCCACAGAAAAATGATGAATTGGAACTGAGAAAAGGTGAATTGTATTCCGTTAACGAAAAGTGTCAAGACGGTTGGTTCAAGGGAACTTGTTTACATTCAAACGAATCGGGAGTTTTTCCTGGAAATTATGTCCAAGTGGCTAAGTAAGTGGTCAATGGTCAAGAAGTAATTGTATTAATACGTGATGTTTGTTGATTAATTTATTGATTTTCTCTTGTTGTTCCATCAGAGCTTCAATGTCTTCATCCTCATTCCCTCTCACTCAATCATCTTCTTCATGTAATCTTTCAATCGGGAATCGTTACCAATCAAATGATGGATCAACCACCAAACCCTTTTTTCCACCGCCGAAAGCCAAGCCACCCCTCCCTGAGAAACCTTTATTGGACAATTTAGGAAATGCTAGTGGATTAGGATCATTATCGCCCAATATTTTATCTCCCTCATCATCTACTTCAAACACTGCGACTTCAACGCCAACCGGTGCTTCCAAATTTGCCAACTATGCACGACCTCGACCAACCCCTGACCAATGTCCTGTAAATGGTGTCGAAAGTACCAGTACCGTCAGCTCAAAATCAAACGTTAAACAAGGTCTAAATTTCTGGTCTACACCTAAACCACCCCAACGACCTCCTCGTCCAACGACCATTGTCCCCTCATCTTCAACTGGAGAGACAAATCAAAAGTCTCATGTTACTAATGAACAAGAAGACGATGAATCCTCATCTTCCCAAAGTTCATCACCTCAATGGCATCAGCCCAAAGTGGCCGCAACCCGAACACTAACCAATAATTCATCTTCCTCATCATCATCTACATCCACCAATAATTACAATTCTAATCCATTAATCCAATTTTTGAGTTCGAAAAAAAGTTCAAACAATATTAGTAACGATAATTGCTCATCAAATGGTCCAACTCGTAACAACAGTTGTAACAATATAAACACGACCGTTAATACTAATCCAAATCACCCTGAGAATAGATCATTCGGAATATTATCAACACCCAGAGCATCGTCTTCGTGCTCATCGGTTAATAACAATTGCGAGCGAAAAGAGGCCAAAAAAGAGCGAATAAGTTTGATGAAACGCTGGACATCAGGGAAATCGAAAAAATCTAAATCACCCCCACCCAATTCAAACGGTTTCTCCTGCGACAATCCAACCTTTGTCGACACTTCTCCACCTCGAGGTCAAAATGTAATTCTATCAAATCCCGTTACAAGTAATGGTAATTCCTCAGCCAATGTTACTCATGTTCGTTCAGGTTCATGTCCGAGTGAAGCTTTGACCAGTAACTCTCACCATCATCATCATCTCCACCACCATCACCCTAATCCTCATCACCATCACCATCATCATTCATCCAAAGGGGGAGGGATAATCGGAGGATTAATCTCCCAATCGTCAACAATTTACAAAGAAAGATATCGCTGCATTGTGCCTTATCCCCCACAAACCGACTACGAGCTTGAACTTGAAATAGGCGATATCGTTTATGTCCACAAGAAACGGGAAGATGGTTGGTACAAGGGAACCTTACAAAGAACCGGAAAAACTGGACTATTTCCGGGCAGTTTTGTGGATGCTTTTTAATCCTGATGATGTTTTGTTTGTGGATCAAGATAAACACCAACACCAATTGATTAGTTTATTAGTTAATCACCAACAATCTTTTCTTTCATCCAGTTTATCTCATTCATTTTTTGCTTTTCTGTATTTTTCACTTCTTCTTAGTATCAATTAAATATTTCTGTTAAAATCTATTACCAATCAATCAATTTCTTCAATTTTTAATGATCAATAATTATTCCTAAAAATTTACTTAATAGTTTTGAAAGAAAAAAAAACTTTGTTTTCATTCAGTGAATTTTTTAATGTTCACAAGTAATTAAACCTCAGCTAATCATCAGAAAAAAAGAGATAATCAAGTAAATTTTATCTTCAACTTAAACGGGAAGATGATAGTTAATTAATCAACACTAATTAGCGTAAGAGAATTGGGGGAAAAAAAGCTCAGCTGAGATTTTTATTCTTTTCCCCATTAACCATGAAGTGGGTTCACTAACCATCGCCGACGTGGCCCATTAAAAGGTTTGGCCTTAAACGGAACGGGATTATCAGGACGACCCCACAGAATATTGGCCTTAACCGTAAAAAGAACGGCTTTCCGTTTAAAGAGAATTTAAATCCCTTTCTTTCTCCTTATCTTCTCTTTCTTCCTCTCTCTCTCTTTCTCTCTCTCTCTTCATCTTCTGTCCATTTTCCCCTAATCATTCACTCGTATTTTCTTCCCCTCTCATCATCTCTCTTCTTTCTCTTGTGTATCTTGGATATTTACCGATATTTCTGGATACCAATATTTATCGATACTTTGAGAGAGAGAGAGAGAGAAAGAGAGGAAGAAAAATCATCAAAAAAGAAAGAGAAAAAAAGAGAAAAAATTGTTCTCTTTCTCTTGTGTCTCTCTCACGCAGTTGTAGCTTTAGTTTAGGTTCCTGGTTTGGTTTTCATCCTGAAAGAAATAAAGAAATTGCTCCTTTCTTTTTGGTAACAATTTCTTTTTCTTTACTTAATCAAAGTTAATCAGTTTTCTATTTAAATTGTTCCCCATCTAATTAATTACAACTCAATTTCTATTCTATGTTTTCAAACTAAAATCAACACAATTTCACCACAACAATAACACCAAAAGGAGGATCCACTTTGAGACCATTGAACTGACATAATCTGAAAGGAAGTAACAAAATGTCAACATGGATTGACCTAGAGGATTACCTATGTTGACCTCTCATTTTATAGCTAATTAACATCACTTAAACTTAGTGTCATCATCTTTAAAATTAACTCATTTAATCAACCATCATCATTAATAGGAACAACAGAAACAACAACAACAATAATAATACCAACAGATTGACTACTTTGTTTATACCTCGTGTTATTTTGACTATTGGTTTACAATAGGAGAAAAGAAAAGAAAAGATAGAATCAAATGATTGATTCAATTGTACAATTAAATTTGATGCTGATTCTATGATCTTGAGGTGTTTGTGATCAACAATTAACAATCTTGCTGATTATTCAAGCTGTCTTTCTATTCGGTGTGTGTTTTTGTATTTACCCTCCTTCAAAGTTGATACATAATCACAGCCACAAACACACACATACAACACTCACTTACTCACACAAATGACAATGAATATCAAAAAAGGTAAAAGCGGTGAGGAAATTTATGTAATTGCTAAATATGATTACACTGCTCAAGGTTCCCAGGAATTGGATTTGAAAAAGAATGAGAAATTAACTCTTCTCGATGATAGTAAAAACTGGTGGAAGGTGTTAAATGCTAAAAATCAATCAGGATTTGTGCCATCTAATTATGTAAAGAAAGAGAAACCATCAATATTTGATAGTATTCGGAAAAAGGTGAGAAAACGGAGTGAATCTAAAAGTTCAATTTCATCTCCTGTTTCCTCACCAATTGCAACTAGAATAGTTGATATTGATATAAGCGGTTCATCAACCAGTGGAGGTGGTATTGGGTGTAATTTAAATCGTTCACCAGAAATGGAAGCCCAACTTCGTGCCAATCAAGCTACCTCATCATCTTCACATGGTCAAACATCATCCCAATCGATTGCGGTGGTTAAATATAATTATGAAGCTCAACAATCAGATGAATTGTCTCTAGTCAAAGGAACTCGTATTCATGTTCTGGAAAAATCAAGTGATGGCTGGTGGAAGGGTGAAATTGATAACACCCTTGGTTGGTTTCCATCTAATTATGTTATAGAGGAACCATTACCTGTATCATCAATTAAAGAAATGAAACCAGAAGTCACCCTTAATGGTACTGGTGGTGGCGGCGGCGGTGGTGGTGGTGGTGGTGTTGTCAATAAGATAAGTGATATTGATGCTCCTGGTTGTTCAATGGTAAACAAGGTAGATAATGGTCTCAATAGGATTCAGAATGAACCGGAATTTGAGGTTGTCATTGCTCTTTATTCATTTACTTCTCAAAATGAAGAGGAGTTGAGCTTTCAAAGAGGTGAAAGGTTAGAGATAATTGATAAACCATCAAATGATCCAGATTGGTGGATGGCGAGAAATGCTTCCGGTGATACTGGTTTGGTTCCAAAAAATTATGTTCAATTAATTAGTGACAAACAAGAAACTACCAATAATGTGTCTAGTAACAATCAAATAGTCTCGGGTGTAGCTAAAGACTTGGCCAAATTATTACTTTCGGAAACCGCTAAATCAACTGGACCTTTGACCGGTATTGGAGGTAATGGTAATTCTTATAGAAATGGTGGTGCACATAATGATCTACAATCAAGACCATGGTACTTTGGATCAATCTCCCGATCTAATTGTGATCAAATGCTAAATGAAGGTGGAATCGATGGTGATTTCCTTATCCGAGATAGTGAGACAAATGTAAGAATTTCTCTGCCAAATAGAGTAGCTGTTTAATCATTGAGATTAATCATTGTTTTTGTTTTGTTTTATATTCTAATTGATTTTTTTTTCTCTTTTTAGTATGGAGATTTTTCAGTATCACTTAAAGCTCCAGGTCGAAATAAACATTTCCGTGTACATTTTGAAAATGGAGTTTATTGTATTGGACAGAGAAGGTTTAATTCACTCGACGAATTGATTGAACATTACAAAAAGGCTCCAATTTATACAACACCTAAAGGACAAAAGATGTATTTAATCAAGCCATTTTCGCCGATGATTTGATTACATTAATCACCATTAACAACAATTAAACAGTCAACTTATATATATAAAGAAAAATCAACAAGGAAAAGATGGACACTGAATCTGCAACTTTTATCGGCAACGATTATCCATCTATTCACATAGCAATCAATCAGAAATTTTTATCATTTTCTTCAGAACATTAATCTTATTATTTAAAAAGACGAAAATTATGTGCATAATAACGATTTCTACCTTGACCCTAACCATTTCTCTCTCTCTCTCTCTCTCTCTCTCTCTCTCTCTCTCATCTTCTCTAATTTTACAAATATCTTTTTATCTTCCCTTTCTCATCTTCTCAATTTATCATCTCCTTCTCCTTCGCCCTCTCTTCTTTCTCCTTTCTTCCTTCTATCATCTACCTAATCCTTTACCCACTAGTTTGATAATACAACTAAAAAATCAAAGGCCTAAGTTACTGGTCACCTCTTAGACCATTAAAATGACCACATCACTTGACCATCATCCCACCTTCAACCAAGGAACGGAAGAGAGAGATAATCTCTCTCTATCTCTCTACCGGTTAAATTAAATGATGAATCTTCTGAAAAGTTCATCATCCCCTCCGGATGCCATCAACCCAAAGTAATAGCTGCCACCCGAAGATCAACCAACAACTCATCTTCTTCATCATCAAACTGTAATCCATCAATAGCTAATCTAAATCTCCTTTGGTTCCAGTTATCACCTTAATCACAGTATATTAGTAAATTGCTCAACTGGTCCATCATCAAGTTGACTGTCTTACAATTAATGTTCAACCATCAACTCAGAGCACACAAACTTGTGGACTTCAGGGGAATCAAAAGATGACTCAATGCCAATAATATCTCTTGATACAATCTAAACAACTCTCTCATCGTTAATCCTAATCCATAATTACATAGAAGCTGATTACGAGCTTGAAATTACTAATTTATCGAGTGATTATGATCGGTTAATATCAATGGAATCAAAAGAAACCGGAAAATAGTAAAAACCCTCAACTTTCCGGTCATTCTAATGGATGCTCATCTAATCATCATTAAGCAAAAAAAAATTAATTGTGATTGAAAACAACAACCATAACAATTTATTATGATTAGTTTGTCAGTAAACAATCAACATTCAAATTTTAAGTTAGACTCATTAACTTTTCTTGTTTTTCCCCTTTTTTCAATGTATTTTTCAACTCTCTCATTCTCTCTCCCTCTAACTCCCTCTCTCTCTTAGCACCAATTAAATATTTCTGTTAAAATCTATTTCCAATCAATACAATTAACATTTATGTGAACCCAATTAATAGAGAAAAGATTTTAAAACAGAACATAATTAATAACGGATTCTATTAATTTTTTTCTCTTTTCTCTTTTTTCGAACAATTTTTTTTTCTTTTCTCATCTTCCAAACGTAATTCACCTCCCACTGCTCTCTCTCTCACCCTTTATCTTCCTCTGATCATCAAGATCTCTATCTTCTTCTCTATTGTTTTAAAGTTAACTAATTAACCTTGATAATCGGTTAGTTTAACTTAAATCTCTCAGGACTAACTATTGGTTAGTTTAGGTTAGATTGTCAGTTGATTTTTTCTTTCCCAGTGAATCTTAATTTTCGCAATCAAATCAAATTGTTTTTCTATTTCTTTTCCGCCGGCTATTCAATTTGTTTAATTTTCTCCACTCAATCTTAATTTCTGCAATCAAATCAAATCGTTTTTCGAGCTCCCTTTCCGCCGGCTACTCAATTTTGTTTCCTTCATCTAATATTTTCCTCCTCGCTGACCAGCCACTAACCACAATGACCCACCACCAGCAATACTTTACTGAAGAATCAATTTTACCGGGTGGTCATCCCTATTGTCTGAGTGAGTCGATCGCCGGCAATCTTGTCCCTCCAACCGGAAACATTTTAAGTCCGCCGCATCTTCACCCTTACCATCCCTATTATACTTACGATGGTTTCTCAGCGCCGTCAACATCATTACTTAATTGTGCCGGTGCAAGTCTATTAAATGGATGCAATGGCGGTTCGACTGTTGGAATTGGTATTACAGGCTCGATTGAAGGAAAAGCCACTACAAGTTCACCCTTGACCATTTCGGAATCTTCGGGTTCTTATCATCATCAATATTTTACTTTTTTAAACGATGAAGGTCAACATAATATCTCATATTTTGCTCATCATCAATATTTTACAGATGATCTTCCCACTGCCCATCCCTATTGTCTTGAAGATTCTTCCACCCTTGGTAGTAATAGTAACTTTGGTCCAACCACGATGAACATCAGTCCACCTCCGCTTTACCCTTACCATCCATATTATACTTACGATGGTTGTAACAGTTCACCTTCGTCCTCTGTTAACTTTAATGGACATTCAATTGGAACCTTTAATGGACTCAGTTCTTATGGAAATTCACCCGATACTGGTTGCGATTTTAATCTAAGCTCAAGTAGCAGTAGTTGCGATGGAACTGAAGGAAAACCATTGACCATAGCGGAATCTTCTGGTTCTTATCATCATAAATATTTTACTTTTTTAAACGATGAAGGTCAACACAATATCTCATATTTTGCTCATCATCAATATTTTACAGATGAACAACCAGTCCACCCTTATTGTCTTGGCGATGAAACATCAACAACTCCCGCGATTGGAAGTAACTATGGTCCAACCTCGAACACGTTAAGTCCACCTCATCCTTATCATCCTTATTACATTTACGATGGTTACAATTCATCATCATCATCGTCCGGTTACCTCAATTCCAGTGGAAATGGTAACTCATCTTTTGGTGGCCCTGTAACTGATTCTAACGGTATCGGTGGTTTCAGTGGCTATATTAACAACAACAACAATGATAATAATAGTAACAATAACTCTGATTTAATTGAGACTAAACCATCAACCATAGATTTACCTTTGATGATGGCTGATACTTTCACCTCTTCCGGTTCATCATTATCTTCCGGTATCAATGGTCAAACAATAACTTCATCATCAAACAATTTGAAAATACAAAGTAAATCACAACCATTGACTTTATCGACCACTCCACCTCCATCGACCACCACGGGAACAACAACAACAACAACAACTCCACCGATGAAAGCTCGGCGGAAAAAGAAGGAGCCAGTCGATTATGTCCTGTTAGATGTAAACTCCGCCGGCGATGAGAAAACTGAATTCATCAAGTACGTCGGTAAAGGTTCATATAAATGTCAAATTTGTGACATTTACTCGAAAAATAACAAAGATTATATTCAAGATCATATTAACATCAAACACTACAACATCAAGAAAAACTATGAGTGTTTATTGTGTAACATCACCTTCGCATGGCGAAGTGGTGCTTTTAAACACCTCAAAAAGTACCATTCGATTGAAGGTAAAAACACAATCAACTTTTTCCGCGCAATTTCGAAACGTCATGTTTACCATAGCCAAAGGAAACGTAAATGAACAATTAACTGTCTCACAATTAACTTTTAATCGACTGGCAAATTATTATAACTATCAAATGTTCAGCTCGAAACTTTGGGTTCAAGTTTTTTTCATCGAATTTTTTTTCTCCATATCAAATTTTTCTTCGTTCAATTCAAGATCATCTTCCGTCTTTTATACTTAAATGGTTATTAAGGTCACTTTTTTGTTCGGTAAATGGTTAACTCTTTTTCGCAATTGTTTGATTAATAATCAATTTTTTACAGGATTTAATTGCGACAACAATCATCAGCTTAATGGTTGATTTTTAATTCTTATTTGATTTGAATTTTTAACTGACAAACTTACTGCAAGTTTTGAACTTTTAATTGATTTTGTTACCTTTTCTTATTAATTAATTGATGATTATATGATTTAATAATTTAATTGTTTTCTACGGAATTGTACAACAATTTTAAAAATGCTCATGATTAACTAATTGTTAATATTTAAGAACTAAAACTTTTAAAAACTTTTTTTCTTTTAAAACTAAACCAATTTGACATTAACTGCAATTTAAAAGCGAATTACAAACAATTAATTTTAATTCAAATTCAATATCAACTTGTTATTAACAATTAAACAAATTATCAAATTGAAAACTTTTCACAATTAATTAAATAGGGTGTTCGTTTATATTAAACTCCCAGGTAATAGATGATAAACTCAATCAATTTTCAATTAATATTCAATTGGAGGTGACAATTAACTTGATAACCATGTCGATCATGTTAATCATGGTTAATACCCAAAGAAAGTAAAGAAAGAGGAAACTTTTTCATTCCAATGGGTAAATTTGATATAATTACTGTTGATCATGATACAAAAGTAACATGATCAGACTCACAATCAGTTCAATAATCAACGCAATCTCCTCAAGAACTGAATACCCACCGAGGAGAGAGAGAGAAGAGGTTGAATACAAGTATCTCTCTCTCTCTCTCTCTCTCTCACCGAGTATGATATTGGAAAGTACATAAAATCAATACTTGGTAACCAGTTACTTGAACCTTTTTCTCTGTCTCTTCCTCTGTCTTCAATATGTCCGCCCCACTCCTCGTATTCAGTTTCTCATCATCATTATTATCATACCCTCTCATCTCAATCTGATTCAGTTCATTTTTACCTTTTGTCTGTTTATCCTTCTCACCTTAAAACCATTAAAAATGTATCACCATCATAACCATTTTCAGTGATACCTGTTCAGTTATTATCATTTTCAATTGTATATACAAAAAAAATCCAATTAATACTCATCAATCTTGGATTGCAAATTGTTCACGAATTGATTGTTATTATTTTCAATTGTTTCAATGGTAAAATAAAATGAAACCCACTCTCCTCCTACTCTTCATCACCATCCATCAATAAGCTACCTTGTAACCTGGTCCATCTTTCACTCATTCACCTCAAATGCAATTGACCACCACCACTGGACTTATCGTCATCATCTTCATGTTAATTTAATGACAATTTCATATTAACCATAACTATCCTGATAATTATCATTCCCACCACAAGAAAATTGAAAAAAAACACCATGAAATCAACTAAACCAACAGCGCTTTCAAAATTCACTTGCTCAAGGATGCAGGGTGATCCATTAAATATCAAGAATAATCAATTAAACTATCATCTTAATCATCCTAATCATCAACCATTTGCAAATCAACCTAAATCAATGTTATTTTATGTTACCAATTTAGGATTAATTTTGTTAATCACAATAATACCTTTGATAAATTCACTTTCTGTCAATGAAGCAAAGTAAGTTAACTTATACACCGAATACCCTTTGACCACAATTGACCCCAGAAGACAAAAATGAAAACCTAATCCATCTAATCAATAACAACAACAATTAATCTAATTTCTTACTCTTAATTAGTGTAAACAATTGGGCTTTAAGATTTGGCAAAGATATTTATGAAGGAAGTGCTGAAGCAACGTGTCTAAGAAAAATTGAAGAAGTAAGTTAATCATTTACTTAATTGTCATTCTTTATTATTTAATATTAACACTAATATATCCTTGACAATAAATAATAATAATAATCCTTAATAGATGAAGATAATTGAATATAATACAAAATTGGATCAAAGTTAATTTGATTAACCAACAACAATCAAATTCAATCGTATCCAATGTTGTACAACAATCAAGTATTAAATCACCAACAATGTTATTATTAAATATACAACTCGAAGAGGCTTTATTATTATTATTTTGTTTTTCCTTAAGGCAAAACAATTAAATACTAATCAAGATACTAATCAATTAAGGATTTGGATTAACCTCCTCCCCTTTTTTTGGTTTTTTAAATTGTTGATTAGACTTTTAAATGTTTTAAATGAATCCTAAATTTTGGGGTATTTAAATGTTGCTGTATAATAACAGCATCAGTTAAATTGTTTGAATGTTGACAATTGAATTTTAGAGGTTAATTGTTTTCAATTTTATTACCAATTAATTGTTTTGAAATTTTTTTTCCTCTCAACTCTGAATAATCCAGAATTACATGGCAATGAAACCTTCGGTTGAAAATGTTGACTGTCCGAGTATGTTACAACAAATGAAGGAAATGGTCACTAATATGTTTAACTGGAAAAAGAAATGGTTGAAAAAATTGCCAAGAAAGCGGAAAAAGCCGCTGAAACGGCCTCACAAGAGCTTTTCAATGACCTTTCCTACATCAACTCGAAGCGACTGTACGATGTTAAGGAAGTTAAATACGAGGAAATGTCGCCGACCGATCCACGTGACTATTCTCTTCGATTAACACCCAATCCAATTTATCGAAATGTTCCCGTTAATGTAAAGAAATCAGCTGTTCACATACCGACCAATGTTTTCGAGGATAAACAAGATCTAAAAGAGGCCATTAAATGGTCAGAAAAGCTGGACACCCAATTCGGAAACAACCATGTCAATGATTCTGAAGTTAATTGGCAATTTTTCTGCTCCTCGAAAGGGTTCTTGAGATTTTTTCCCGCTTCCAAATGGCGGCTTCCCCAATTTCTCATTGAACCCGATCCAGAGGCTGAAAAGCTTGACCTCTACGATTGTCGAGTCCGTGAATGGTACGTTAAAGCAGCCGCATCACCCAAAGATGTGGTCATTTTACTTGATGGAAGTGGATCAATGACCGGTAAGTCAAATTGTCACAATTAAAATCAACTCAAAATCAATTGCAATCTATGATGCTTATCAAGTTAAATCTACTCAACAAATTGCAATTAAGAGTTTACACAAAATTAAACTGAGTGCTTTTCATGATAAAACCAATAACATTCATGTCAGAATTTTTGTTAATATCTAATTGCTGTTAATTGATTTAATAGTGGGTTTTGTTGTTGTTGGTTAAAATTAATTGAAAGAGTGGAAAACATTTTCCTTGATTAAAACCAACAGATGAATAGCAATTTAATATGAAATAATGACAACATGAGGTGGGGAAAAAAAGTTCAGTTCTGAAAGACAGATTGATTACCATGAGTTTAATTAAATAGATGAAAAAAAAAATGATTACCATGAAAATATGGTTCAAAAAACTTTTCATATTCAGAAAAGTATATCATGAATTTAATTCTTCATCATCATCGCCACCATGATAATCTCAATTCTCAGCTTGGAGTTATTCAAATCTAAATGTCCAGAATTTTGAAACAACAAGAAGAGAAGAAGAAAAAAACTCAGATTCTTTCCAAGGTAATCGATAGAAACATCATCATTATCATCCTCATCTTCATCAGAATTTTCTTCTTTCTTATCGTCTAATCATTACCATGTATTCACCATGAATACTCTTACCATGCAAATAGTTTTCTGTCCAATGTTGAAACAATTAATTTTAGTCAATTTGCTTCATCCTAATACCTTTCTCCATCCTCATCTCTACGAGGATAAAATCAATAATCACTCTGAATCCATGTAATCTAATTTTCCGCCATCATTATGAATCAAAATTAATTTACACTGAATAATTTTAACGCAATTAACATTTTCCACTTTCTCTTCTCATCATAACAATTTATATAAATTGGACACAAACAACTAGCGTATTGTTAATTACTACAATCAAATTGAAACCTCCAAGGTTTCAAACTTTCACCACAATTAACTAAATCACAAGTGAGATTAAGTCTCAGCAAAAAACTGAAACCAAATAGTACAAATTAGATTAACAATTTGATTAACCAACAACCTTAAAGATAATTAAAGTAACTTTTAATCAACTCAGTTAAATATTATCAGTTATCCATATATTCAATTTTTATCATACTAATCCGATGTTTAATCACAACAATCATTGTAATTATTTGATAGTTTCATTTAATCACCATGACACAAAGTAAATTGTGTTTATTGTTTAGATTTGGTTAAATCAAAATCCTTGGTTACCAAAAGCAAAATATTATAATATAATAACAACAATCAGGTTACATTAATGATCATACTGATTATTATTTAAACTAAATTCAACTTGAATCCATGATGATCATTGTAATTGATTAACTTTCAACTGAAAACCAGAATCAATCATCAATGAACAAATTAATGAAACATGTTACAAGCTCTTGAAAGTAATTGATTAACTTTCACCTTGATTATTATTATTTATGATCAATTTGATATATTAAATTGTTACTCGTATATGTAAGTAAATTAATTCCTATGGTTATATTTATATAATCATATAGTTGATTAACATTGATTGAACAATTTAGTAATGATTAAAAAGGTGTAAATATATTATTGATTTGTTTTCCAAACACAATCAACCTTAATTGTTGGCTAAATTGTGATATGTTACTTGTAACCAGAATTAAGGTTTTTTTTTTTCATTCTGAAATGTCAATGTTGATTTAATAACAATCAGTGGTATTAAATTGCTATGTAAACATATCATTATTAACTATGATCATGATTAAATCACTTAAATTGATTACAATTTAAAATTTATTTCCAATTTTATGGTAAATTGTTAATTAGTAGTAATTTGAATTATTACAATTCATTGGGATTTCAATTTAGATTGACAATATATATTGTTTTAAATTGTTTTAGATTAATTGTTCATTTAATTAGTAAAATCGTAAAAATCAATCAGTAGACAATTAAAATTAATTAACAATCAAAGACTGTGAACATTTTGATTGTTGAAAAATTAGAGTATTATCATTACAATGAGCTAGAAACAATTTGTTAATTGTGAGGATAATTAGAAGGATACATTAAATAGATGATCGCAATTAAATTTGAATTTAAACTTTAAGCAATTTACTTAATTGTTGTAACAATTTAATAATATGAAGCATAAGATGAAAACCTAAATTTCGATGAAAATTTCGCTTCTCATTTTTATTGAACTTTTCTTCCCACCTCAGTTTCCACTCTCTCACATCCTTCCCTGTGTTTGTATTACTTTTTTCATCTCTCATCATCATTATCATCCTCATCATTCTGTCATCAGGATCTCTCTTTTTTCATCTTCATGATTTAATAATAATAATCATCATTATCATGATGATAATAGTTCTCAGCTTCCAACAGGTTCAACTCACTGGTACACTTTGACTTTAATCATTTTCATTTTTATTGTGATTATTTAATCATTCTGATAGTAGATATCATTATTACATCACAATTAACCAGCAATTAACTCATTAAATGTTTCATTTAAATCGATTCACTTATTAAAATCATTATTATCGATATTACAAATCGAGTGTCGTTTTGAACAGAACAAAAAATGATATTGAACATTTTTCAATTGTCAAAGTTTACGAAATTGGATAAAATGTCTTAGAACTTTTTTCTTCGATTTTTTATCGAATGTTTCTCTCTCTCTCTCTCTCTCTCTCTCTCTCTTTCTCTTTCTCTCTCATTTTTAATAGTTTAAGTTTAGAAAAAAATTACTAGAAAATAATAATAACAAAACTGGAACAATAATGTTGGTATTATCATGGTAGAACTTTTTTACCAGAACTTTATCCGAGTGATGATTGAATGAAATAGGTGATGGTGGATGAAGATGATTAAGGAAGATGAGAAACCATTAGAATTGTGGAGTTAAGGTGAATTCTGTTGGTTGAATATGGTGATAAGTGAGAGAGAGAGAGAGAGAGAGAGTTTGCTTTCCAAAGAGAATTTTTGTTGAATTTCTCTCTCAACTTTTTTTCTTAACTCAGAATATCATGAAATAACAGATTGTACTATTATGATACCGAAAGATACAAATAATATTAATGTACTTTTTTTTATAGGAGTGAATTCGAAATTTTGTTTTTTTTCATATTTTTTTCTATTAATATTTACAATTCTATGTGAAAATGCCAAGTTGAAACTTTGCTTCAAAAAAAAAGATAAGTGAGATGAGTCATTCTGAAAACTTGTAATTACCGATTATCTAATTACTGAGTAATATCATTTTGGTCAATATATTTGATTGCATCAAAGAGGTTAATTGGTCGATTGAAATCATTGATGATAAATGCAATTATGATGATTTCGTAGGTGACAATGGTTATCTCATGGTTCTTGTTGCATGATAATTAATGGAAGAATATTGAAAATTGAATATCTCATGAAATAGGAAAATGAAATGAAGTGGAAAAAAATTCTGATTATCAAGAAAATGATAAATAAGTATGACACAGTATTCTAAAGGTATTCATGTAGTGTGAATCTCTCTCTCTCTCTCTCTCTTTCTATGAGTTTGATATCGATTAGCATTGAAAAAAATGATGATAGAGGGAAGTGGATGAATGGGAGTCAGGGATAGACAGGGAAGGATGAAAATTGAAACCTTTGAACCAAGTGAATATATTGTGTTGTTTCAAATGCCTTTTCCAAGTCAATATTGATCCATGGAAAACGAAGCAATGATACAGAAGATGAGGATGAGAAAAATGAAAGGGAACATGTGCGAAATGACTGAGCATCACCATGTAATGAAAGAAAGAGAGGGAGGGAGAGAGAGAGAGAGAGAGAGTAAGATGAAGATAATGGAAGCCAAAAAATTTGGCACATGTATTAGTATGAAAAGAAAGAGAAAAAATTGTTCATCATCTTTGCTTCTTCCTGAAGATGAGGATGCTAACACTTTCCATTTTCTTTCTGTTACATGAGATGATGAAGAAAAGGTAAGGTAACCAAAAGAAAAGATGATAAATTGATATTTTACTGCTGAGAAGAAGATGATGAAGGATAAGAATAAGAAAATAGTTGAGATCATAGATGTTAAGTAAAAAAATGGCAGATCCAAAGTTGTTTTCGTTGTTGATGATTAGGATGAAGATGAGAATGATTATCATCATGATGAGAAATGAGTGAAGGTGAAAAGCGTGACTGAGTTTTCAATTTTCGCGCCATTTTCATCATTCTCATCATTTTTCTTCCTTCATCATCTATTGTTTACTCTTTACTTTCACCTTTTTTTATCACCATTGTGATAACGTGACTGAGATTGTAAAGAAAAATAATGTTTCGTCTTAATGGTTGATGATTAACAATCAGATTAATAAGATGATAATCAAATGACTACATGAAGAGTCTGATTTATTTTAAATCAACTGAACTTTTTTTGTTCACTTTTTATCAGGCCAACGGAAGGAAATTGCAAAGGCCGTTGTTGCATCCATTTTGGATACTTTGACTGACGATGATTTTGTAACGGTAATCCGATTCTCTGATAAACTTCAATCGGTGGTTGAATGTTTCGGTGAGACACTTATTGGAGCAAATAAACAAAACATGATCCAATTTAAGCACAGTTTAACTGACCTAAACACGACGGACATTGCCGACTTTAAAAGTGCCCTAACCAAAGCCTTTGAAATCCTACAACATGCAAGTAAAACTAATCAAGGTTCCCAATGTAATCAGGCCATTATGCTGGTTACTGATGGTGCTCCGGACACTTTTCGTGATATATTTGAAAAGTACAATTACCCTCGCATATCAATCCGTGTCTTCACCTACCTTGTAGGTAAAGAGGTTACCGAAACTAAAGAGGTCAACCTAATGGCCTGTGAAAACCGAGGCTACTACACCCAAGTGACCAGTTTATCCGAGATCAGGGAACAAGTTCAACTCTACCTTCCAGTTATGAGTCGACCTCTTGTCCTTTCCGGAGCCCGAGTCTTTCGTTTCACCGGAGTTTATGCCGATATAACTGTAAGTCGAACCTTTAAATCCTCTTCTCACTCAATTACCTACCTGATAATTGTGAAAACAAACCCCACAATTACCTACACAATTAGATCAGTAAAAAAGAGATCAACATTAAAACACCTCGAAACAATTAAACTTAACCATCAATTTGAACTCAAATTCATCCAATTTCATTTCCGATTCAATGATTACCCTGTAGAGCCCATGAAAGAGCAGCAGTTACTTTTCAATAACCGTGAAGCTTTTATTCAGTTCAGAACAAAAAAAAGTTCTATTACTTTGAATTTCTTTTCCTTTTTCCATGAAAGAAAAAAATTCTCTCTCATTCCAAGACTATGATGATGATGATGATGATTCCCTTTTCAATATCATCAACCTCACACTTGAAAAGAGAGAGAAAGAGACTTGAAATATAATATTCATTGTTTTGTAATAATATCATGATAATATTTTCATCACAACTTTTTCTCACCCTATTTTCAAGTATCGTTTTCATGGTAATATGTTTTCCCATGTTAATGACTAGAATCTGCAAAGTATCATGACCTCAGTATCTTTAGATTTATCATTTGTAACAGTGAATACATCTGATTGCCTGTGGAATATTATTCATTCACAATTTCATCATCATTCCCTCATCATCATGGTGTAAATTCAGTGAAAAAATAGTAACCTGATAAAATTGAATCATGGCTAAAGTTATTCAAGAACTAGTAGATCATCATTATCATGATCTACTAGTATAGATGATTAATTACTCCAATTATGATTAGTGTAACTCTGCAATTAACCCAAAAAAAACACCAGAAAAATCATTAAAATGATCATCATCATGGTGAATATAATTGAGTAAGAATTGTAAGTTAATAATCAACTCTAATTGTTAGCAGAAGACCCGAGAAAAAATGTCAATCTTATTAGCGCTTTTTGTTTCCACCATTAAAATCATTCAGATTGATTATTATTCAGATTCCATAGTTAATTGACTCTCGATTAATGAACTATTCAATTCAGGATATAATGTAGATTATGATGATGGTAAAAAAAATTGTAACAACAATCAATCATGTAACTTAATTCACCTTATTAGGTTCTAATGGTTTCTTACTCTATTGGTATAAATTACCCTGAATTTATCATGGCTGTCGACAGTTAATGAATCAAGAAGTATATAAAAAAATTATTTCCACTGATTATTAATCTTCCCTATTCATGATAATCTCAATTCACTCGTTCAACTCAGATAATCAGATTAATTCTGTTATCATGGCTCAGACTCATTTCTCAAGTCACAGAGAGATAAAAAAATATTATCTCTTTGTTTGTTTTTTTTATACACACATTTGCATGATGATAATTCAGTTAATCATCATTATCATCATGGTATCAACATGATTGATTAACATTTGCCTGAGTTAATTTTGCTCATTGATTTTTAATAACTGTTTTGTTTAACAGGATGTTCCGTTAACACCATGGGTCTGGGATGAACGGGAACGGGAAAAGATTCGTAAAAGTTTACAGGCCAATCGTCGAGCTCGTGATGTATCTTCAGTTTCTGCGTATGAAGGTGAAACCGGATATGATGGACGATCAGATAATCCGGTTGACGATGATAAAGAATATGAAAATTATCTCGATAAAAATAATTCCAATGACACTGGTGATAGTGTTTCGATTTCTGGAACTAATTCAGTTAACCCAATCGAACCAGATAATTTGGTATCATCTTCATCATCACGAACAAATAATAATCTGAACCCAACAGAACCCAAAGTCCGAGTTACTCGTGATACCGAATCGGAATCATCGGCAGATGATAATACAATCAATTTCGCCAGCAATTACAACCAAAGGTTAATTGACAAAAAGGTAATTAACTTGTGCTCTTAATCCGTTTTCAAATAAGTGAATCAATTATTCAGTTACATTTTTTGAATCTTTGATTGGCAATTCCAATTAACTTTCTGAATTCAGTAGAAAGTGAAATTGAAAATAATGTTCATACAACTAGAATTCATAACTTTTTGTCTTTAGCTCTTTTTAATTCTGGAAAAAAATTTCATCTTATTGCTATCAAAGATTCAGATTGAACTTATATTATGAGAAAAAAATATCTATCTGTCTGTCAGAATTTTCAGAAATTATCTGTCATGTAGGAGAGATGGAACAAAAAAAATGGAATCAAAAGTGGCAACAATGATTTTCCAATGACATGAACATGATAATTTCACTGAGAAATCATGAAATCAATATGAAACCTTCATGTTGAGAAAAATAGATCTGAATATTATCACTTGAATTATTATCAAGACAAAAATTCATGATGATTAATATGAAAAAAAAACTGATTCATGATGATATTGCCCCACCCTGGATAAATTTAGTAGATAAGAAATTATCAGAATTATCATCAGTCTCCATGAAATTTTTGATTCATGGGAAGAGGATATTGAGTAAGATCCTTTTGGAATTGGTTAATTCATGTATAACCATGAGACTGAACTTTGAACATGATAACAAAAAGTATGAAGGTCTAGTGTCCAAATAGAAAATTGATATCATTCAGGTAGCATGGGAAAGAAAATTCTTTGTTATTCATCAGATGGATTCAGAAGTATGGTGAGTTTTTCATGGTTCCATGATTATCTCTCGATCGATGAGTAGATTCTTTCATTATTCCTATTTTGGAATAGAGAAAACAAAATTGACGAAAAGAAAATCTTTTTTTCTTTCCTTCTATTAATATCTATTTATAATAAACGAATTCGCTTGAATCATGATGATGAATTTTATCATGAATTATTTTCAAGAATGATGAAGAAACCAGAATACGAAAAAGGTTATCTCATCATAATCATGAATTATCAGGATAATTTCATTCAAACTGGACAATCAAATGTGATTATGTTGAGTGGCAATAATTTCAATATAAATATCATGCTGATGATTAGTCACCATGAAATGAGTAACCATTGAAATTAATTGATTGTTGACATCACCAAGTAGACTAAATGTATTAATTCAATTGTTTCCGATCATCAGAGCTGATGAAAATAAAACAATTTAAATGTAATCAATTTACACACTAACCAAATCAATCCAACTGATAACTAATAAGATTAACCTAAATATCCTCATTTGAGTGGTTAATTCATTCAAATTTTAACCATCAACAATTGTCATCATCAAGGTGACATTAATCCAATTAAAATTTCAACGTTTTCACCCATTAACTAAACTACAATACTAATCATCACCATCATCATGAATTATTGATCAGCTGATATTTTCCACCATCAAACTTTATAAAACTCACTCAACTCATTGGTAACGATAAAGATGAGCATGAAAATCCCATGTCATGTATTTTAAGTTAATACAATTTTTTCAGTTGACAGTTATAATATAAAACAACAAGAAACCATTTCTTGTCTTCCTTGTCCTCATAATCATCATGATGAAGACAAAAAGTTATTGCTTATGAGAATCCAGGAGATGATGAAGATAAAGGATAGAGAGAGAGAGAGAAATTCTGAAAAAGAATTGAAATGAAATGGTTATCAGAATCATCGTTATATGTATTCCTCAGCATCTTCACTATCTCCCTGATGATGCTTCAGGATCAATAAGATGATAACTTGACCAGAATCATCATTGAAATGACATGAATTTGGAAATCACCATGTATATTATGACAAAATCGGTTGACATTTATTTTAAATCACATTTAAACTCCGAAATCCTTTTTTTTGTCATTATTTTTCCGATACAAAGTTTTTTTCCTCCTCCTTTATTTTGGGTTCAATCCAATTTGCCTTTGGGTTAACCTAATAATACATTTAAAGGGCTTATCCCCCTTATCCACTATTTGGTTTCATCATTCACGTTTCATCACAATAGATTATTGATATTCATTCATGATAATCATGTAATCATCTTGTCTTAATCAACGTGATTATCTTACATGTTAGAATGCATTTATTTGATTTCTTGTGGATTAGATTCCTCAAGAAAAGTTAATCCTTATTGTTATCAATAACTATAAACTTTCATTGGATTATAACATTTGATTAGCAACCAAAATGAGTTGAAATATTTTTCGTTCACATATTAATAACTAAATTGTTCAGTTAATTTAATAGTTACATGTAATATTGCAATTGAAAATGAGTTAATTCAATTTATTACTACTTAGAAAACTTGAAATTGAATTCAATCATAACTGTACATATACCCTGAGGCTTTAAACTGAATCAAGATGCTAATAATAAACTAAGAGTTATCATAAACTGGTGAATATCATGAAATGAAAATATGATTGAAACTGAATTTAAATGGGCTTGAAAAGTGAGGAAAAAAAAATGTTTCGAGACAATTAACAATCAAAGTCAATCAATATTCATCATGAAATAAATTACATGATGGAAAATTAGTTTAGACTCTGAACTGAGATAATGAAGATAAGATGTATTGAAGAAAAAAAAATCTTGGAACAAGAAAAGTTACTTTATCTTTTGAACATTCGAATAAAGTTCTAATCAAAGGAAAGAGAATGTTCAAATTTAAAGGTATGAGTTTTATCTCATGATAATGGTTCAGAATTTCAGTAAGATAGAGAGTGAGAGTAGTGTATTAATTGTACTACATGAAAAGATGAGGAAAATGTTATTATCAGTTCTGGTTATTCATCAGAATCTCAACAACAATATAACATGTTCATGAAGAAATCCAAACTACTCGAAATTTTTTCTCTCTCTCTCTCTTCTTTGTCAACTGAAGTTCTCATCGATAGATGACAATAATATACTTCGAGGAAATAGATTCCCAAATAACAATAATAACAATGGCAAATGCTGAGACAGATAAAAAAACTAATACTTCCAGGCATGCCAGTCGAAAGCATCCTCATCTTTTCCTCTTCCTTCCCTGTTACCATAAAGTTGTGATTCTTATTCAGATTCCAGAATATTGAAAATTTTGAATTAACAAACTTTTCTCATACCAATGATGAAATTCAATCTTCCACCATGAATCTTGTCTCTTTTTCGTTACAGATCAGGATAAGAATTTATCTTCATCATGTTTCATCATGCTGATGATATTTCCCTTTTCATCCTCTTTATTTCATTATCATCCATCACTTTTGTCGAGATTAATTTATGCTTACAACTTTTCTTTTGGCGCGAAAAAAACTATCAAATTAATTTTGATTCAGTTTCACATTTCGATCAGCAAAAATCAAATTGTTTCAATTGATTTTCTTTGATTGTTTACAAGTTAAAAATTCAAATGATTTGCTGATTATTATTGATTGGGAAATTATTAAAACATCATTGATCACCTTTTGATTATCGTTAATCTGATTACATTTACGTGATTAATCACAATTTAAATTGTCTTCCCAAATCACTTTGATTAAGAATCAATAGTTTGATTGTTGTTGTTGTTTAAACGATGTAATTAAAATCCATAGTTACCATTTATGATGACAATTAAATTAGATTGTTTTTCGTTTAAATTTAACTTTATAATTAACCTTTGATTACTAAAACGTTTGTGTATAATTAACAGTTTTCAATTTGATTGACAAGGGTTACAATTAAATAGCCAATTAACTCACATAAGAAATGCAAGTTAATTGTTACCCAATTAAATTGTAAATCAACGTTGACAATCAATTAGATTTAAGTTACTGATTATAAGAATTTAGTTAAAACAAAAATATGATTAGCTAATTGTGATTAAATCGATTGACATTAATCAAGACAAAATTGTTCGGGTGTGACATTATTTTTCCGTTGACAATCAAATGATTAAATCTTAATGATTAATAATGATAATCAAAGAAATTAACTAATCAAAATTAATCTTCTAATTGCCTCAGGGTGTCCACGAATTGATGACAACAATATCATTACCAGTGTTTGATGTTAAAAACACAACCGTAAGTTGAAACAATTAAATTGAAAAATTAACGAGCAAAATGATTAACTAATTGTACTAAACCTTTTTTAATTGTTACCAGAATATAACTGAACGATTCTTGGTTAAAAATGTTTGGCGTGAACGAGTTAAAGAGGTAAGACATTTTAATTAACTCTAATTGAAAATGATAACAATTTGATTTACTTAATTTCTTGTTAATTGTTTCAGGTTCGATCGGCTAATTTACTTGGAGTCGCTGGCATTGATATACCAATTAGAGAAATAGTTAAACGAGTTCCAGCTTATAAGGTAAACAATTGATTAAATCACTTTGATTCTTAATTGTTGTCATACTTATTTACTAAACTGAACCTTTAATTGTCACAATCAACAGTTAGGTGTAAATGGTTACTCTTTTGCAATCAATAACAATGGACATATACTTTTTCACCCTGATCTCCGTCCATTGGTAAGTTTAATTAACTAAATTGAAGCAACTAATCACTAAATTGTTAACTTTTAATTATCTTCCAACAATCAAATAAAGTTTCAAGATCTGTTGAAACCTTTTTACAGTTCAGTTGATTTACTTGAAGTTGAATTAACTGTTAATCATCCGGAAAAAGGACCAAGGGTAAATATCAATTAAAATCTAGAATCTAATTTACCACAATCAGTTAATCATGTTAATCGTTAATTGTTAATCTTGTTACAGGAATACAATGAAACCTTAATTGCAATGAGAGAGGGTATGATTGCTTTTAAAACTGGTTGGACATCAATGGAGGTTAAAATGCACATCGATTCAATGGTAAATTAATAACAATATTTTTCTCCAACAATTAAATTACAAATTTTCTTTCAAATTAATCATAATTAACATGGTCCATTTATTTGCATATCCAATTATGATTATGTCCAACTATTGGTTTATATTAATCAACCACTCACAGAAAATTAATTGTTTCAACTTGATTATGCTAAATGAGTTTTTAATTAATGGATTTTAATTTTCATTGAAAAAGTTTTACTACAATTTGATTGATGATTTTAATTGTTTACACTTTTGTTTTGGCTTTGTTTTTATACATGAATTAGAAACGAGCTGTAACTCGGAAACACAAATATTGTTATGAACCGATTCATGGGACACCCTTTTCTTTGGGTATCTCTTTACCTAAACCTTATGGTGAATATCGGGTGTCGGGTGGAATTGAAATAAAACGTAGAGATGAAAATCTTACTCAATTTTTCCGAGGAAACAATTGGAGAGTCCACCCCGAGTGGACTTATTGTGACAACGATAACCTAAGGGGTATTACCTTTGACACACCCGAAGGTGGGATATTACATATGCTTGCAAAGGCGGCGGAAAATGAGTCAAATATTTGGTACCTTGAACCATCAAAACAACCACCGGTTCGCATGGACAGATTAACATGTGAGTCCATTTGTTTCATGTTTTCAATAGATTGAAACTTAATTGCTCTTCCTCTCTCTCTCTCTGTACTAATTGTCAACTTTAATTGTTTCATCTAAAGGTGAGAAAGATTTGGTTCGAGGTCTAGTTTTCGATGCAAAAGCGACCGACATTGATGCTAAACGATGTGGACCGGTCAGTATGAGTGATAAATACGAGTAAGTGTATTGGTCATTTTGTGTTCTTGTTGACCAATGTATTCAAATTTGGGAAACATTGACTGGTCACTTTTGTTTACTCTTGACCAACATTAAAGTTTCCCAAGTTTCTTTGGTTTTTTTGTTCTTGTTGATGAAAAAAAAACTCCTTGTGTTGATTATATTTATTTGGACATAATGTCCAGTATGATGTCCACTCTGGTTTGTTTTTTTCTTCATCTGATTAATGAGCTTTACTTTTTTTGTAAGGTGATCTCTTAGTAATTTAATTTGACCGGTCAACTTGGTCCCTGGTTGATGAGTTAAATGGAGAGATGATTAACTTTCACTTGACCATTAAATTAACTCCTATCAGGTTATAATTGTTTTCTGCTGACCAATTGATTGACCAATTATCAAAATCTAATTGAGATCCTTTGCAATTATTTTTTGCTCAGAAAAAAATTTCCCTAATTGATTGATAACTTTTAATTAGCTCTTACAATAAGTATACATTGTAATTGAGCTGATTGTTAACCAAAAGCTAATTTAATCCTAATCAAATTTAATTAGATTAAATTAAAAGTCTTGTATTTTTTTCAATCGCTTTTCAATTGCAAAGTCCATTAAATTTGCTTCTATCATTAATGCCAAGGTAACAATTAAAACTAATCAACAACTGGAAATCAGCCAACAAATTAAAGTCAAAACAATCAGTGTGTTAATTGTATTAGTTGATTGCTAATAATTAGGAAAACTATCAACTAGCCATCGAATTGATTATTTATCATGATATTAATGATAATTTTTTTTCTTTTCCCTTGAACCTTTACTTCAATCGCTTGACCATTGAAGAAATCGGATAACAACAATGTATGGAATCACGATGACCTTTGTCGCTACTCGATCGGGATTAACTCGGTTCGAGGATCACAGGTCACCAGATGAGAAAGCAAATACCACCGATGATCCGGAAAAGCTTTTCATGGAGACTCATAATCGAGCGATCGATGAACTTTATTACCAAAGGGCAGTTGATTATCATCGTTTCAATTCATCGGCTTTTGTGTTTTCAGTTCCGTTTGATGTCGGGGACAAGGTTAATACGACCTATGTAACTGGGTCTAGAGCCATTTTCCTGGGCAAGGGTAAATCGGTTGCCCCAGTTGCCGCAGTGGGTCTACTTTTCCGATTGGATAAATTTTCAGAGCGATTTTTCAACTTTTCCAAAATGTGTGTCGGCGAAGGGTGTGGAGTGGACTGTACAACTGGTACCTTTGACTGTTTCCTGGTCGATAACAATGGTTTCATCGTAGTCTCAATGGACAACAATCACACGGGAAAATTTTATGGTGAAGTTGATACTCCAATGTTTGAAGTGATGGTTTCAAAGGGAATCTACAAGGAGATTAAGATGTACGATTATCAGGCCATTTGTATTGAAATGATTCAACGCTCAGGTCCAGGATCTACTTTAATAACACCGATACAAATGACCAGTCGCTTGATTACCTGGCTATGGGCACGAATAAGTTACATTATGATGGAAATTGTTTTCGGTCATATTGTTAACCTTGTCACTGGTGATTATTATTATGAAGAAGATGGTGAAGTCTCAGATGACCCTTCAACCTATTCAGAGGGCGAGGGAAGACCAAGACAGATACCACCCAATAAAACGCGACCTTATCCATGTGACAAGGAGTTTTACATCTATGAGATGCAAAATGCACCCACCGAGGCACCGATAAAGGAAAATACCATAAATGTGACGGTTGTGAAGAGTAAGTTTCCCAATGAGAGAACGGAAAAGGAAATGATGATGTGGGATAAGATTTTTCCATCTTTTTCATTTCATCATCATTTCCGTTTCCTTTCTGTTCTCATCTTTTCTAAATTAAATTGTCACACTTTGTTTTTCCTCTCAATCTTTTCTTCCCAATCCATTTAAAGGGGATACATCATTCAACCTGTTCCATACACTAATCTATTGATTGTTGTCGCTGAAACATCCTGCCATTGTGAACCCCGCCGGGTAAAAATCAATCCCACTGAGATTAAGTATCCAGAAGATTGTACATTTGAAAAGCGAAGGGTCAATCAAACAAGAAGAAGATCTGACCAATCAGATTGTAAAAATACTCACCCAGAGGTAATGATAGTATTCAAATGATTATTAAGATAATTAACTAATTGTAATTTTCTCTTTTCTCTAATCAAATCAACAGGAATATGTAATTAAACAATGTGGCAAAGGTTGGAAATTGAAACCTTCTAGTCAACCATTTGTAACCATTATGACCATCACTTTTTTTCATCTCATTTGTATAAGACATTTGTTGGATACTAATCATCAACTTAATCAACTTAATTAACTCCCCAACCTCTCAACTTTCATTTTATTATTGTAATTTAATTGATTAACTAAATTAACTCGTGTAATTATAACTGTACTATGTTATAACCGCCTTACAACTTGATACAACCAAATAAACTGAAATTCAAGAAAAACAAAAAGTTTCAAATTGAATTACAATCCAATCAATTAACCAATAAATCAAAAGTTTGATTGATCATTTACTCAACAATTAACTTGGAAATACAATTGTTCATTTAATTTCTTTTGTGTAACAATAATTTCGGTACATAATATTCAGTCCATCAGATGGAGTAATCGAGTTCAGAACTTTTTTAATATCGAGAGAAAAATTCGAGACGAATCAGAATGAAAATCTCATTATAATCAATAGAAATGAACATGATCCGTTTATCATCATTCTCTCTCTCTCTTTCTCTCTTTTTCTCATCTTCCAAACTCATGGAAAACTTATCTGTCTAAATTACTGTCTGTCCATCTCTCTTTATCTTCCTTATCATCATTCTAAACCCCCAATCATCAAAGTTATCATCATGTTGTCTCTCTCTCTCTCTCTCTTTTACTATCATGTAAAAGCTGAATCAACATTGAATATGATCAGACTACTTTTAAATAACATTTTCAGTTCTCTCTCATCCTCCCCATTTACCTCTACCTCCTTATCATCATCTCCATCATCAACAACATTATCATCATCACTCTCACTCTGATCATGTTACCCGGCAAACAATTAGCTTAACAACAATTTTGTATTATATTTTTTTCCTCCCTTCATATTGTTGATAACTTTCAAACTCCCAAGTTAAAGTTACATGTTATTTCAATTGAGAAACAAAAAAAAACCATCAAGGTAACTTTTACAACTCCCATTGTCTTTCCCATTGTAATAGTTAAATTGTTACAATTTCAACAACAATTATCAACCAATTAAACTTATAATCAACCACCCCAGTCGCCTGTCTAACTAATTACATAGTTTAAAAAATATAAATCATCAACATAATCATCATCGTCATCATCATTAATTGAACGTCATTCATTTTTATCAACACAATAATCAACAATTTATTTAATACATTTACAAAAGGATTAATCAACAATCAGGGACAAGAGTAAAGTTTGCAATTAGTTAATCCATTGCAATTTGATTTAGATTGCAATGGATTTCAATCATATCTTCACTCATAATGTTAACAATCAAATCATCGTGATTGTTTAAGATAATTAACTAATTGGGTACGATTAAACAACAATAATAATAATCAAATGTTAAGATAATCAAAAACGTTGATAATTATTATTTATCTAAATTGTGATTAAGTTTTAATTCCGTTTCCTTCATTTCCTTAATTTATTTTCCCTAATAAATTAACACACACACACAATTGGGATTACAATTTTTTCTTGGTTTAATATTCATCCCAATGGTTAATTAATTTTCAACATTAATTACGTTCACAATTAATTAATTGTCATCTCAGTGTATCGTCATCAAGCCAATGCTCAAATCCATGATTACTTATCAAAACCTTGAAATCATTTAAATCAACAGCAATTACAATTAAATCAAAGTGTAAAATCATCAACCCAAAACAAAAACAAAAAACAATACCCAAGTGATCAATAAGTGATTAATTAGTAGCCATCAGAATCGTTCGGTGATTAGTTAATTTTATTTTAATTATGATCAAGTGATAAACAAAAGAAGTGGAAAAAAAATTCAAAGAAAACTTCAATTCGATGACAATTGATCTGTATTGATTATCGTCGTTTTCATCATAATGTGTTATCTAATTGAATCATCATTATCATCAACAATCAACCTTTTTATTATATTATTTATATTACAATTAACCGGAAACAATGTTGTTCAATCAACAGACAAAATCTCACTTCATGGTGACATTTTACTCGGCGGAATTTTTCCAATCCACCAGAAAGGTAATAATAATAATTCCGATTCCATGAAGTTGATTCCCAATTAGAAGAGAACAAAAAAAAGAGAACAAATTTCTCTCTATTCTTCATGTTATCTGAAGGATATTTCATCGACCTTCTCATCGTCATTATCATCATCTTCTTATATCTCTCTCTCTCTCTCTCTCTCTCTCTCTCTCTCCTAAATGATCTTTGTTGTTATTGTTACTTCCTCTTTCCACTTCCTAATGTTTTTCATCTTCTATCATCGTCATCATCTTCATCTTCATCTCTTATTCTTGAAATTGTGTTCCTTTCGCTAAGATGGAGAAAAAAGTTCTATTTCTTTTCCAATTGATAATTCTGACATCGGTTACCATAGATACGATAAAATTTTCTGTTTTGACTGATAGACAATATTTTGACATATTTAAACTCAGAACTTTTTTATTTTCTTTTTCTTTCCTTTGTGATAACAAACGTCTAGTGAACATGATAAAGATACGTTAAGCTTAATAAAAGAAGATGATGATGATAAGATGAAGATATAACCATTCAGGGTGGTGAAAATTTCATGATGATTCTGCTGAGTGCTTTGATAAGAAGAAGAAAATTATTCTTTTCAAAAAATTGAAGGCGGAAGAAAATAAATCAATGTTGATTTTTTTTTCTTATTCTTAATGTTTCTTATCCACTTTTCCTCCCTAAATAATAAAACATTATCATATAAGATAATATCAAGAATCGCCTCTAAAATTATTCATGATAAATGAAATTCATCTCAATTCTGACATCTAGGGCATTAATTAGTTTCATGAGATTTAATTGCCTTTGGCTATAAAAAAAAATAGTTTGACCCAAATGCAAAATATTGATTCAAATCTCTACTACCTTGATATTTATATCATGATAATGATTCAGAATTTTGAAATTTCTATCTTGCAAATGTAATAAAATCTTGTCTTCATGGTAATAAATGAATAGAATTGTTGAATTAAATTGATTATTTTCTAGATCATTATTGAATTACAATTAATTTTTCACAATTAAATTTACATTTTGCAATAATAATTCCGGCCTTCATGTTATTCTTGAATTAATATCATGTAGATAAATATTAGTTTCCAGGATTCATGTTATCATTTTATTCAATTATTAGTCAAGGTTGATGAATTTCCCTGATCCTTTTATTTTACTTTTTAAACATCATGATAATAATAATAGTTTCCAATAATTCTGACACCCTGGTGATAAAAACAATTAAAATTGCTCAATATACAATTGAACCATCTAGATAACTGATTAATAATTTGCTACATGAAAATTTTGCATTCAAATTATATAAATTAGACTAATTAGTTGACTCATTGATTTGTTAAGTTAGTAAAAGGTAATGATGATGATCAGGGTGAGTTGGGGGAAAAGATTGTATCATATCAACACTGAATTATGAACAAGTTATTGATAATGTTGAATTTTCACCAATTTGAAATTCTGATCTTTGAATTGATTTTATTCATTTATTTTTTTCTCTGTTAATTTCATGACGATGATGATCTTTAGGGACCAAGGCTGGTAATTCAATTGGTGGGAATTATCAATCAGCTTGTGGTGGACTCAATATGGATCGTGGTGTCCAAAGGGTTGAGGCGATGCTTTTTGCTATCGATAAGATCAACAATGACTCTACCCTGTTACCCAATATCAAAATGGGAGCGATAATTTTGGATACTTGTTCATCTGATTCATATGCACTGAATCAATCTCTTGAATTTATCAGAGCCTCAATCAACACCGCCTTTGAGGCTTCCGCTTTTGAGTGTAAGGATGGACTTCCACCTCGACCCAGATATGGGATGAAAACCATTTACGGTGTTGTCGGTGGTTCCTATTCAGAGGTATCACTTCAAGTTGCCAATCTACTGAGGCTATTCCGAATACCCCAGGTAAGAAAAAAAAATTCATTACTTTTTCCATATGTTCAGTTATTATAAAAATCGTAAATCTCATCACCATGAAAACTCAATCATGAAAAATTACCTTAAATAGTACTACTTGAGAAAATGAATTGAATAACTGATCATTATCATGAACTTTTTTTTATTTCCTTGATTCAATCAATTGATTTTTATGCTTATGTATTTTTTTTCCTTCTTATTCCTTATGACATTTGTTACTGAAAATTTCATTTTCTTGATTTATTCTCATGTACATATAAATATCATCAAGTCAACTAATGATTTCATCATGAATCTAATCATGTTGATAATGAATGTGCTTGAAAAAAAGTTAGAACTCAATGTTTATTTTTGAAGAAAGAAGAAAAAAATTCATTACGATTTTGCATACAAACAGGAAAAAGTTCAATTCTGTGACCAGAATTGAATTGGTTTATCATGAAAATGTTGATACTCATGATGATTCTGATCCTGTAATCTTTTTCCCTGGTTCATCCTTATATGAAACATGAATATCATCATTGAACAAACATTCACACATAAAATACTTTGTATTGTGTGTGACTCTTTGAATGAGTAAACTTACAGAATCCAGTTGAAAATCATGATAATCATGGTGAAGAAGAAGCGATAAAACTAGAAACTTGAAAGCTTACAGGGTAGTTTGATCTTCACCCTGTAGAATCTTAATCTTGTCATAATAATAATATTTGAAATTGAGTTTGAGTGCCAACAGAAACACACACTAAGAGAAAAGGAAAATGTAATTCTCTAAATCGATATCGATATATTCCCAATTTTTTTATCGATTGATTCGTGATGGAAAATGAAACATGAAAAATGCTCAGAGAAAAGGGAAAATGAAATAATCATCATGATAATGATAATGATCTTGATGATGACAATGATGATTAAGGTTTAATTATTTTCTGTATATTCTAATAATAATGAGAAAAAGGTTCAATAATGATTAACAGAAATTAACAAAACAATTGCAAAAATTTACCTGCAATTGAATTTTCCTTATTCTAATTTCCTACCATCATCATTTTCATGATAATATATATTGAATAATAATGAAGTTTGACAGGAATACATGATGAAAACCATATTACCATGTTGATAATGATAATATTTTGGTGATTTCTATTCATTGTTTTGCTTCATTCATTTATATTTATGTACATCATTTTTTTTTATATATGGATAAATCTGATTCTTGATTGAAATTCATGATGAAATTGATTTGACTATTTTGATTAGTTTTGATCATCATGAACCAATAAATGTTTTCATTGAGTAATTGAATCAAACCATATGATGGGTAACATGTAATTAAGTGTGATAATCATATGGATCAATAATTGTTTCAATTCAATCAGCTGTTGATGTTAGAGGTATCAATAAGTTTCATCGTTTTCGAGTTTTTTTAACGATTTCATGTAAACATTCAGATCTTTTTTATGAATAGTGTTCGAATTTAAAAAATGGATTCAGGTGAAAAAAGTTTGGTTTTCGTTGTTTTTTCCAACATGACCTGAAATGACCGTTATCACTTTTTCAAAGGCCCAAAGAAAACAGAACTTGTGGTTTTCTGTGATAAAATGGACAATTAACTATGATTATCGAGAAATCGAATCTTGAAATTCGGACATTTTTGTAAAATCGATAAAAAATAATTCTTTTTACCATTAAATCAATGGTAACTTTTCAGATTTTTTTTCTGAAAAAAGTCCAAATTTCAAGAAATTGAATGATTATCATTATTGAATTTCGAGAAATAATTGAACAAAGTGAAGTACCAAAAGCGACAGAGCTTATTAATACCCCTGATAATTGAGATTGACTTTCATATTATCAATGGAAACGTTTATATGTTAATGGTGATCATTGATTATCATGATGAATGATAAATATGATGGGATTTTCTTGATATTTGTGTATTTATTTTCCTGCAAATCAATTCATTGTCATGATGATAAGATTCGGAATCATTTCTTTTTTTTTCCTACGATGATTTTTCTGATAACAGAATTATTTTAATGATGGGAAGTCCTGCATCACATTTTTTTCTTCATCGATTCTCCCTCATTATCATGAATGTTATACTTTCATGTGATATCATGTCGTTCAGTTCAGATAATTGTGATGATATTTAGTTTAATATCATGTATGTTCATATTGAAAGACAATTATTAATAAATAAAATGGTGACAATGAACAAAAATGTATTGACTGAATACTCAAAACTTTTTTTTGCTCATAAAATGACGAGGAGTTAATTCATCATGTATTTTTTGTCATGTTCATATGTTAATGCTCAAGATGTTGATACTCACCATGATGATTATTTTCATCAAACTTGATGCTAACAAATATCGTTTCTTGTTTCCAATTTGACTGTTATCATGCCAATAGTTTCAGGGAATCTAAAAGTTACCTCATCAACTCGGAAGATATTCAATTTAAGTATATGTCCAATGAAAGTATTAATAGTCCATTGAAATTATCCTGCTAATATCATCCAATTGCTTGAACATATGAGTATTAACTGTTATTTATTTGTCATGCTAATGTGTATGAATCATGAAAATACAACTGAACTTTTGGTTCTCTCCTCTTGATAAACTAAGGTGATTATCTGTGTCCATTACCATTGAAACTTTGATCAGATACTGAATATGCTGTTTTCGAGGCGAAAATTATCACCTTTGAAATGTCAACTCAACTACATTATGTTATCGTCTACATGAGTCATTAGTAATTCTGTTCATTTATCTGTCTGGTGAGTGGTAAATTCATGGTGTAATATTCAAGGTAAAACTTGAAGATTCTCAAAGCTCATACATAAGCAAAAATCAGACCTGTATGTTATTAGTATTATTTCAGAGGATTAAATGAAGATGAGGTGGTGGTGGTGGAGGAAGAGGAAGTAGAATGCAATATATTATGAAATAACAATCTTATTCCTATCACATATTTCAAGCTAATTTATTTTGATCGTCGAATTTTTTTTTTGGGGTTTGTAACATTTTCTCATCGAGTTTAATAGGTTATTCAGGTTTTCATGGGAAAGGATGAAGGAGATGGAAATTGAGGTTGGTAAAAGTCTCATGAAAAGTGGTTAACTTTGGGCTGGGAGAACTTTTTTCTTCTTCAGAATCTTCAGTTTTGCCGGTGGAATTTTTTTCTCTTTTCTTTTCCAGCTTCAGAAAATGTTGAATGAAGGTAAGAAAATTTAGTTAATTCTTCCATCATCATTACTGTTAATGTGATATTATAACCATGAATACTTGTGATGAGAATGATGGTTTCATGAAGGTGTGATGGTGATGATATTTGAAAGAAGATGAAAAGAAAATTCAACCAAGAAAAGAAAAGGAATTGTATGAATTTCATGAAATTTGATGTTTCGGTGTTGTGATGGTTCAGTTGTGGTGAATGTGTGAATGAATCATTTAGGTTTTACAATTAACTGATTGCTTCCTGAGATGTTTGCTTTATGTTATTTCATTGAAATATTCATGATAACTGATGAAACTTTCATGTAAGATTGTTTGAGATTACCACTCATGGAAAATATGAAAACAATTAGTTAATGTTGAAAGAGGAAAAGGAAACGTGAAAATAGGATGAGAGGGAAAAATTGAATGAATGAAACTCAATTTTCATCTCTGAGTCTTCATGGTAGTTCAACATTCATATTAATTATTAACTGTAATGGATTAAGGATATAATTTTATGTCCCACTAGAGTCCAATTAATGTAGATCATCATCTTCATCCACTTTTCATCTTCCTTTCTGATTGTCTTTTTTTCGTCATCTTTTCGCTCTCTCCCTCTCTCTCCCTCTCTATCTCTCTATCTCTCTTATCATCTTTATACTCTTCCTCTATCTTCTCATCTTCATTAATCATTCTGAGAACAGAATTCACTTCAACCTTTTATATCTTATCACCTTCCTGGTTATTTTTGGGTAAACAGTCCAGTGGGTGAATGGGGACAAAGACTCAGGGTGGACAATCAAAAAGAAGAGTAAAATTCAAAATGCTGAGTTGACCAGAGGGACAATTAAATCTAAATATATTCAGTCCACTGATTTGCTAACTTAATTGCAAATTATCATTATAATGGTCAAGCATTTTTTTCTGCAGACAATCAAGATTTTTGCAGCACAAGGACAATTAACTTTCAACAACAATCAAATCATCTTCATAGTCATTTAAGGTCAACACAAAATTGCAACTGCAAGCAAGAAAATCAATTTTTCAATGTTAATCAACTTCTCCAGTTAATTGATTGAGTTTCATTACATTTGGTCAGCGATTGATTTAAATGGACAATCTCATATTAATTGATTCGAGTTGATTATTAATGCTTGTTGATTGAAATAAACATGAAGCTAGAATATTAATATGATTTTATTGATTGAAGAAAAAATTGAAATTCGACAAATTTTCTTGTCATCAATTTCGAACCAGAAAGTTTCTATTTCTCGTTAGCTAATGATCAGTATCAGAATAAACATTGAATTTCAAATTGACCAGAGTTCTTGGATTATATTAAGAAATTGAACCTCCTACGCTCAGATCGAAAGTGAAAAAAGTTGTTTGGCTGAAAAAAGAATCAACATTTTCCTCATCATATCAGCATTATCCTTGTATCATGTTTTGAAAATTTTCTTCACATGGTAATAACTTTCTACTCTCGCCAATATATTAATGTTCATTTTCAGAATTTGCAACATTATCTACCTTCCGATGAACACAACTATTAATACATTATACTTTTACATTATTGTGCTAATATGATTTGAAAATTTCTCATTTTCTGTGAAAAAAAATATCAATCATCACACCTTAAGTTTCTGTGAAGTAGGAAATGTTTTCACTCATTTGATATAATATTTATTTCATCCGGTTGTTCAGTTAATATATTTATCAATATCTTTTATCTTGATGATAGTTTATTATCAGTTTATTATCAAC